TCTAATAGCAAATAAATATAAAAAAATTTTAAAAATGATTTTTAATAAACATAAAAAAATTTTAAAAATAATTTCTGAAAAATCATTTTCCGCAACAAACAAGTCCTTATAATTATCATATTTTATTGATTTTAACGTCATTTATTTTATTTTAACAAATTTAAAAGATAGTTAAAAGATCTTCATGTGCTGATTTTTATTTTTCTAATATTAATTCTAAAAAATTATTAAATTCTTGTATAAAAACTCCAATTTCTCACATCATTACCACCTCTTAATCTGGAAAGAACTATTAAAAAACATATAGAAAAAGGTTAATTTCATTCCATTAATACTTCCACTCTCTCTTCCTCTCTCTTTTTTTTTCCTTGATGAAATAATAAGGCCAAGCTTAAAACTGAAAAGAATTGTAGTAAAGAAAGCCCAACGATTTGGGCCGTTGGCAGAATTGAAAACGAACTTTAAAGCACAGTCACTCTCTCCAGAGTTTCAGCGCTCCCTCTCACATTCTCTCCAAATTTGAACTAAAATAGCGTGCTTTATTATCTTCAAAATCTCCCCTTTATCACTCAATTCCACTTTCAGCTATCCAAGAAAGGTCAGTTTTCTTTTGTTTTTGGTTCCATGTTGATTAAGATTCAAATTTTGTAACAAAAATGTTTAAAGCTTTGTTCTTTGTATGAATCTATGTCGCCATAACTTATATATAACTAGTTTGGTAACCAGTTACCTTTTGTGGGTCAGTCTAGTTCAATGTTTTTTCAACTGGGTTTAGCTTAAATTCACATCTTTTGATGTTTTGGGACATGGGTTTAGTAGCTTAAATTCACATCTTTTGATGTTTTGGGAGATGGGTTTGGTAACTTGTGATCATATATATCATGATTCATGAATGTGTTGTTTTTCTTGTCTTAATGAACTTTCAAATAGGCGTTGTTTTATTTTTCTTTCTTGAAATGTATTATCATTTCATATGAGTGTGATTTTGTGCTTTTTCGGATTTGTTAATGTTCGTGTCATAAAATTTGGTTTTGCAGGAGAAAGACAATGAAAGTGAAGCTGCTACGTATCCTTTTCTTCTTTTTTGGTTGTCAATATGTTGATTAAGATCTTGAAGTTGGAGTTCTTTTACTTTCTATTGGGGTTTTGTTAGAATGACAACTTTGTGGATTGGTGCTATTGGGGTTTTAGTGAACTATGTGTTAAGATTTATAGACAAATTTGATGGCCTTGAGAAATGACATTCCCTTATTATATTCTTATTGGAGCTTCGCGGATCAAAATCCAAAACTATAGGATTTGGTAGCAGTAAAGGGCACTGAAATATTGGTTTCTAATTGTGTGAAATCATCGTGGATTATACTGAAATACACTGTATATCTTGGGAATCAATTTTAGAAATCTTTGGTGAAGTGAATTTTTATCTGTTGTTATTGTTTAGCATTTGGGACGGATAAAATATTTATTGCAAAGAATAACTTCCTACCCTGATTTTTTCTGCTGTTAAGAATATAATAAGGGAATGTCATTTAGCATATAACGGCTAAAATATCTGTTGTTATTGTTATTGTTATTGTTTAGCTTTTGATAATGAGGTCTTTAGATTGGGATTGTGGCTTTGCATATAATTAATCAAATAATGTCCCCTGGTGTATGGGCGGTGACAAAAAAGCTCTGTGCAATTATCTTTGTGGTTGAATTGTGTTGTGGCAAATCTAGTGCTTTAAAATTTTTGAAGATGCAGATTTCCTTGACTCGTTGTCTTCTCGAATATGCACTGGATTTTCTAACAGAGTATGCCCTCTTTATCTCCTTGCCATCTTTTTTCTGTTAAAGCTGATAATGATCAGTTCTATCATATAGGCTATGTGAACTTAAAAGTTTTATTTCGTTTACTTTCTTGTTTTTCTCAAATGGGTTTTAAGGGATTTTAAACTTCTGCTGGGTTTAAATTCATGGTTGAACTTATTTTACTTCATACAAAACTAGTTCAATGCACGTTGGCCATCGTGTTTTTTTTCCCTTCTGTTTTTCATCTAGTGAGAAAGCACATTTTCTATCTTTTTTCACTCATAGGTGGCATGCTGTTGCTTCATGGACTTGGGACGCTCAGGATGAAACATGCGGGATATGTAGGATGGCCTTTGATGGTTGCTGTCCTGATTGTAAACTCCCTGGGGATGATTGCCCACTTAGTAAGTTAACAATATTAGCAACTCACGGTTTCCAACATTGTTAATCTTTGGCATTTTTCATGGCAATTTCTTGCATCAGTGGATCAATACTGTTTCTCTGTCAGCCTAATGTTAAAGCTTCTTCTTGTAGTCTGAATTCATCTCATTACTTGTCCCTTCTGTTCCAATGTTACAATAGTTTTAGCAGTATCATAGAAAGGAAAAATGTTCTTGAAGCTGAACCTGTTGTGTTGCTAGGTAGTTTAAGACCCTCTTATTTGCGTTTGAATTTCTATCCTGTGGAATAGTCAACTGTATCTTGTTTTCCCTGTTTCCTTTGAGTTGCTATAATTTTGAGGTGCAGTGATATTCATTCTCTTATTGGGGTGGGGTCCTTAGCACATTTCACTTCTTACAAATTGGAACTTTTATGCAACAACATGACTATCATATACGTTTTCTCCATACATTCCTAGGTCCAAGCAAGCTTGAGTTTCAAGACATAACTGGTCAATCTGGTACTCCATGTAAATTTTTACAACTCAAATGTAGACCATCTGTCTGTTGAATATAAGATAGGCAAAAGGTCATGTATTTGGCAGTTATTTATGGAGATGATGCCAAATGATGATGGATGTTCCAGAAAACAATTCATGGCAACCCCTCAGACTTGAAACTCAGAGTGACAACCCGATGAATGGGTATCTTGGGCAGTATTAATGGACTCTGGCTTGGCTTGATTATATAGTCATCTCCTAGCCCTGGACTTGAGCTCCAGTAGGAGGCCTGATAATAAGTTTAGGTGGCCTGAATTAGCCCTGCCATACCCCGTGGTTCAAGCATAAAAAATTCAGTGTATTTAGTATCTTCTTCAGTGAAATTGTCTGCATTCTTTTCTTGTTTGTCATTCACTGGGCTTTGAAATGTCATATGGATTTAGCAAAGAAAAAAAAAAAACATAGATTTTGACTTGATTACAAAATGTTATACGATTAACCAAGTGCTGGCATTTTGCGTTCTTCTCTATCTGTGTACTTTTTTTGCCCTGTATGAAAGTTTCATTTATCAACTAGGGAAGGAATTACATGCCAGCTAGCTAGTTCAGTTGGTTGTGTACCTGCCCCTCCCAATGGGTCTCAAATTCTAACAGTTCTGTAATCTCAAATAAACATAAAACTGCGGAAATGATTAAATATTTTTAAGTTGGTGTGATGTAATGGGATAGGAACTAATGATCTTTATTGTTAACATATTTTTGCAGTTTGGGGTGCATGCAACCATGCGTTCCATCTTCATTGCATCTTGAAATGGGTGAATTCACAGACATCACAAGCACACTGTCCCATGTGCCGAAGGGAATGGCAGTTCAAGGAATAAAGAATAGATTTAACTAAGCTAATTACATCCATGAGGTACAAAATTTCTGTTTGGCTATTTGTTTTCTGCCTATGCTATGAAAATAACTCTTTTGTACCATAAACTACTTTGCCAGGAAAAGGCATGTATGGTGGTGCTTGTGTTTGATCATGAGAACAAGGACCACTTGATTGCATCATTATCCGACCTTATTATAGATCGTTTCTATATAATCATGCCAAGCAAATATTATCCTTATCTATACAATTCCTAGAATTATCTATGCTGTACGGAACACAGGTCAATTTTGGTTCAAAATAGTTACAAGGGCACACTTCTTTCGTGCTGCTGAACGTTTCCTTTTTTACTTTTCCTGGATGGAAAAGAGATTCCAGTCCCACTGTTTGGTTATTTGATCAGAACATAAGAACCTAACGGCTTGTGGGTTGTGCTGGAACTAACAGTAGCAGTAGAAGCCTGGTGAACTATGTATATATTTGGGACAATGATATATATTGTATCAGTATGTGCACAGACGTGTGCAAACACAAAATGAAGGCCTTCAGCCTTCTGAATGAAGAATCAACGAAAGCCATTCTTCCTTCTAAAGCACTCAAAATTTGTAATTGCGTGGAGGTTTTTTACAGAGGAGCTTTGCTGCAAGGATATGATGTCTTTTTCTTCTTTTGATTCTTCTCCTAATTATTATTTTTATTTTGGATGTAAGATAAGGGATTCATCTCTTTGTGTGCAAGGATTTGCCTGGGATGTCTTTTGTGGTAATCCGCGTAGGCATAAAGTGATCCAAGTTCCATATGTTGCAAGACATGAAACACCAATCCTTTGCTTTCCCCAGCCTAGATAGATACATATCCTCTAAAAGGTTAAGAGCAGGATGCCCACCGTTGACAAAACCAAACTTAATGAAAGCACATGGATGTAGGGGACCTAACTCCTGGGGCACAAGCTGATTTGGTAGATGTCTAGGTGCCACCTAACCCTTAGGGCACATGCCAATGTCGTCGAAGTCGAGGGGTGCTAGTGAAAAGTTACAGTGATAGCTTGCACTATTGTAAAATTAGGCCTTCTAGTTTTGCAAGATAAATTAAACCGTCCCTTTAGTTTCAAACATATTTAATTGGTCTCTATGTTCTTAAATCTACTTGTAATCTGATCTTCTTCACTCGTTTTAAGTTTCAAAAGATTGACGAGAAATATTTATATTAAACATGATCAACCCTAATCAAATAATTAATTAATTGTCTCTTAAGTTAGAGGAATTATTTAATTTATTTTGCGAAACAATGAGAACTCATTTATAATATCTGAAATGCATATGCGGGTTCAGATGTCTATTGTCTCCTTCCTCCAGCAGCCATGACATAAAGCAGGAAGAAAATTACTGGTGATGTTGACAAGAAAGCTAGACATACATGAAGCTTCCTTGCCATTTGTTTGCTTGTGGCTTTTTGGCTAGCGTTTGATTTGACTTCCCTTTTGCCTTTCTAGCTGTTTCCCTCCAAGGCCATTCTTACGCTACTGTGAAGATGCCATTTTTTATAAAATATTTTTAAATGATTTACGCTAGCTCTTTCCCTACCTCGTAAGTAATGTTATTAATATATTTTTTTCAGAAATATATTAAAATAATATTTTTTATTTTTTAAAATTTTTAACTTCAATAATCTAAAAGCATTATTAAAAATTAATTTTAAATAAAAACTTGTGAAAACATTACTTTTACCTCCAAAACAAGCATGCGATTGTAATCTCAAAGTAAAAGAAATGTTGCCGACAGCTTACTATTATAGCGACCTAGGCAATTTGCCAATTCATTCACTTTTATGCATGTGAATTCTTTTGAAATAAAATGGGATTATGACCTTTGAGGCATGCAGTTGTGCAGTAAGTAGCTAAAGATTTAATCTTTGACATGTTAAAACTAAAGCTATCAAACTCGTCTCAGTCTGTTTAGATATATGAGTCAATTCGTATATAAAGCTATCAAACTCGTCTCAGTCTGTTTTGATATATGAGTCAATTCGTAGATTTAAAAATTTTAATTTTTTTAAATTAATTATTTTAAATATTTTGGATTGTATTAATACGCTAAATTTAAAAATAATTTTTAAAAATAAAAATATATATATCATTTTAATGTATTTCAATATTAAAAATATTTTAAAAAACAACTATAATCACATTCTAATAAATCCGACTTGATTTATGAGTTGCAATGATTTAATAAAAATAAAAGTTAAAATAAATATTGAGTGAGTCAATCAAATTAAATTTAAATTGATTATTTTAAAAACTTCATATGCATAGGAGGCTAGATCTAATAGTAGGCCGAGTTTTATAAATACGTTAAAACCTAAAAATAAAAGTTAAAATAAATATTGAGTAAGTCAATAAGTTAAATCTAAATTGATTATTTTAAAAACTTCATATTTATCGAAGGCTGGATCTTGTATTAATCGAGTTTTATAATTATGGTTAAAACTGATTTGATATCAATTAAGGGAGTTCACACTTAAAATCAGTAGGAAATATGGAAGTTGAACTCAAATTTTATTTTATGGTTAGCTCTCAATTATTGATGAGAAGTGTGAACAGTAGGAGATAGATTAAGATAATGGTAGTGATCACATAGCAAGTGAACCAATTGATCTCATTCTTGCTGTATCCATGGAATTGAGCTAGCTGCATCATAAGATCAAAATCAACAGTATCTATATTTTTTAATGTTTAAGCTAACATGTTTTAACAAAAGTTATCATACTGCTTGTTCATGATTTAGTTTAAAACTTGGGTTATTTAAATTTTTATTTAATTTAATTATAAATCCGATCCAAACTAGATCTTGAGCCGATGAATTAACCCAGGCGGGTTTAATATTTATGTTTTCAACATCACCGAGTCATCAATTTGGTTTTATATTCAGTCAACCTCGAAGAAATTGCTAAACAATAATTTCTCCAAAGGAGCATGGGATTCTCTTCGTGTAGCTCTTCCCTTTGGCAAGAAACCAAGAGATTCGTTCCCCTTGACTGTGAAGAGCAATGAGTCCTCCAAAATTATTACAAAGCAATGAGTACTCCAAAATTATTACAAAGCAAGAGACCTGACGTTTGATTCTTGCATCAATTTGGGGACAGGGACAACTAATCATCATATATTTTTTCACCTACTTTACATAAATGATGTTAAACCACTATTCATGTATTAAGCTCGGTGGCCCTTGTCTTTTTTACTCCTTTTTTGGTTAAGTAATTAGGGCTCACGCTAAAATGGAGGCCTTTAAATCTAGCTTCTCGTTTGCATTTTAAGTGCCTTCAAAGATACTATAAACTAAATCTTGAAGTGGCATAGCCTCCCACCTTCAAGGTTATATATACCATAGGTTTCCGTAGAGAAGCAGAGAGAGTTGGAAACTCCTACCAAGCTAGAGACATGAGGGGGTTTGGTTATTTTGTGGTAATGTTCTTCTGTCTTTTGGTATTTATGGGCTCAACTGAAGGACAATTGCAGATGGATTTTTATTCTAGGAGCTGCCCGAATGCTGAGAAGATTGTGCAAGACTATGTTAACAGGCATATCCATAACGCTCCATCATTGGCAGCAACTATCCTAAGAATGCATTTCCATGATTGTTTTGTTAGGGTATGTGTCTTCGGTCCTTTTCAGAATCTCTACATTTTCATCTGACAGGTCTCTTGAGATTTTGGAGCTCTGTGTTTTTCGTTTGTTTTTCAGGGTTGCGATGGATCTGTGCTTCTGAACACAACTTCTAGCGGCAACCAAACTGAAAAGTTGGCAACTCCAAATCTAACACTGAGAGGCTTTGGTTTCATTGACGGAGTTAAGAGCCTGTTAGAAGCAGCATGCCCTGGTGTAGTCTCCTGTGCCGATGTTATTGCTTTGGTTGCAAGGGATGCTATTGTAGCCACTGTAAGGACTCGAACATGATCCATCTTGAATTCACTTGATCTTTTTCTATCATTATTTGGAGAAAAGAAACGCTAAAACCCTCTTGTTTGAACTTCAACAGGGGGGTCCCTTCTGGAAAGTCCCTACAGGTCGAAGAGACGGGACAATTTCAAGATCCTCAGAGGCCTCGAACAACATCCCACCTCCAACTAGCAACTTCACCAATCTACGAACACTTTTTGCTAACCAGGGACTGGACTTGAAAGACCTGGTCGTGCTATCAGGTGCTCACACAATCGGGGTAGCACATTGTTCATCGTTCTCGAATCGCCTTTACAATTTCACTGGAGTGCTGGGTTCTCAGGACCCAGCACTAGATAGCGAATACGCTGACAATCTCAAGGCAAGGAAGTGCAGAAGTCTTAATGACAATACCACTATAGTAGAAATGGACCCTGGAAGTTTCAGGACATTTGATCTTAGCTACTACAGGCACTTACTCAAGAGACGAGGTCTATTCCAGTCTGATTCTGCCTTAACCACAAACTCCACTACATTGTCATTGGTCAACCAGCTGCTCCAAGGTTCACTTGAGAATTTCTTTGCTGAATTCGCCGATTCCATGGAGAAAATGGGCAGAATCAACGTTAAGACTGGCACAGTTGGAGAGATTAGAAAGCAGTGTGCAGTGGTGAATAGCTAAGACTCTTTCGTTCACATGTGTGTTTCATTTCAAGTCAAATAATGTCAGGAAGACTTTGTCTTCTTCGAATTTGATGCCATTGTTTCTCCAGCAAGAAAAAAAAGAAGAAAAAACCACCTCATGTGGGGTCTCCAATCACCAAGAAACAGCTCAAGAATATTGTGCTGAAAATTCACCTAATCATTAAATGCACGGATGAGACTAAAGAAGTGATAAAATACAATTGTGATTAACAGATTGTGGAGCCAAATTCTTCAAAAGCTAATACAGCTGCTAGCCTTGAGCCAGCATTACTTGTCGATCAAGGTTCTGAACATGAGTCAGCGCCCTTTTCAAGGCAATTATATTATATAGTATAGTACTATCCGCACTAACATTATTTTACTTTTAACCTTTAAAACATAATCTAAAGATATTAAGATGCATACTGGGAAACACTTTTAAAATACTATTAATATAATATATTAAGTGATATGTTTATTTAAAGAAATACCGAGAAACTAGATGATCCTGATCCATCGTGGTTAATAAAAAACTCATTGTTGTTTTGTCATGGACCATAGCCAGCAACTATAAAGAGCAAATCCAGATGAGATTGTTGTAATGTCATTGTGAATGGCTGCACAGTAACACTAAAAGAGTTTGTATGTATTGTTCAAGTAATGATCTTGAAAATAAATTAAATAAAATATTATTGTTATATTTAAACAATTAATATAATTTAATTTTAAAAAATATTAAAAAAATAGATTTAATATAGAATGACAAATAAAAATACCCAAGATAATTTTATCATTTTTAAAATTAGTAAAAAATCTATAGAAAATAAATAAATAATAATAAAGAAACTCAATCTCCAATTAAATCAAATGATGAAGGATAAAACTAAAAAAATATGAACTTGAAAAAAAAAACAAATGAACCTTGATAAATCTCCTATGGGTTTATTTTTTAAATTTATTACTTGTTAAATCCTAAATTCATGCTTAATTAAGAAACTCAATTCAAGGTTAAATGATATAATTAGAAAAAAAACAATTAATTTTTTTGTCAAAATAAAAAAACAACAATAAGAAATAAAGGAGAATGAAATTGTCAAAAAATCAATTTAAAAAATAATCTTAAATAAAATAAATAATAATCAAAATAATAGAGATTATCTAAAAAATTAATAAATTGAAAATGAATGAAATTAAAAATAATTTTCAATTTTATAAAATAAAAAAAATAAATTAAAAGAATAAAAAATAAATTTAAATAAAAAAATAAATTGAAGAGTTGTTACTTAGATTTTGGCAAGTCATGCTTAAAAATAAAAAAGAAGAGAAATAAAAAAACTAATTGATACTAAATCAGAGGAAATTAAGCCGCACACACCGCTCTAGGAGAGAGGCCCTTCTGTGATGAATAAAAAAAAGTAAAGGAATGTCATTTTTAATTGCTTTGAACTGCTTGAATCGCTATTTAAAATGTGTTTAGGAACGTGATATAAATTATATTTTTAATTTTTTATTTAAAATAATTATTTATATTTTTAAATCGTTTTAATATGCTGATTTTAAAAATATTTTTTTAAAATTAAAAAAATATTTTAATATATTTCTAAATAAAAAACACTTTAAACCTTCAGAACCTCCACTATTATTATAATTTCAAACAAATAATTAAAAATAATAGGTTGGTTTGCTTTTACTGTGTTTTAAAAATTAAAATTTTAAAAAAAATCTTTAAATTTCAGTTAAATAATGTTTTACTTTCGAGAGTAATCAAATAATTATATCATGAAAATGCTTTCGAAAAATACTAGCTACCCCTCATAAATTTCATAATGAATAATGAATATGTGATAAACAAAATCACAAGAACCCTTCCTCGGGAGTGCAAACACAGCCATTTTACTATTTATGAACAGTAAAACACTGCTTTTCCACCTTACTCCCCTCTCTCTTTTGGGTTCTTGTTACAGTCAGCACCGACAACATGGTGATTTGTTTTTGGCATACATACATACATACATATATATATATATATATATATAGTCTAAATTAGCATGAACATGCATGAAGGTCCAGCTATCATATAGAGGAATAATGATGATAACGATGATAAAGCAACGAAATTGGTAGCCACCAAATACTAGACTAGACTTGCCCTATGATGCAGAAACCATGCCAATTCTTTTTCTTTAATTTCTCGAATCTGATGCCATTCAACTTTTTGACCCTCTGTAAAAAATATATTGTAATTATATTCTGTCCCATTTAAAATCAATTCATTAAAAGACGTGCTGTTAAAGTGAAAATAATCGTTTTAAAAATTATTTTTGATAGAGTATATTAAAATAATTTAAAATTATTAAAATTAATTTAAAAAAATTAAAAACAAACATTCCCAACAAAAGCAATTTTCATGCATACGAATCAAGAGCAATATGACTGGACACAATTTAATGTTTTTAAAAATAAGTTAATAAGTGATGGTTAACTTCGCTACCAGATACTCCATTCAATGGCTGCGCGCCTGCACCAGCCTAACCTTCTTCCATTTCGTCCTTTTTCAAGGTCTCGCAACTCTCTTTTAGGTTCAACAATGGCCTCTAACTCAGTGCTTCCTGGCGTTGAGACGCCTTAGTGCAGAAGAATTAATGGATGGTAGGTCGATGGGAAACAATGAACTATTCCTTTCCTTGCCATGTATCGTTAGTGCAATTATAAGAAGGTTTAAATGCGTTTCGGGAAGTTCTGATTGTATTTTAAAGTGTTTGTTCACTTGAAAATATGTTTTATTAAAACAGAAAGGATTTAAAATTTTATAAAACAACAGGATTCACCACGTCTCAATTAACAGTTTGAAAGAAAGGTTAGTGAGCATGAACTACTCGAAGTTAGAAATTAAAGTAATGGCACTTTCCATCTTTGAAAGAGAGTGATAAGAAGGTTCTTGTTTGTGAACATCATAATCTTCATCACAGTGAACTTATATACACAATAGGAGCTAGATGAGACCAAGCGTCTGCAGGATGTGAAGGATACAGAACAGAATCACAATACATGCACAGGATCAATACCTAGCCTGAGAAATGATTTTCTCTTGATCCTACAGTTTCAATATTGACCCCCTGAAAAACCCCTTTTGTAGAAGATGAAACGGAGAGGATCAGATCCAGACCATACTAGATATCCTGTTGTCATCAATCTTTCCAATATGATCTTCTGTCACTTTGTCTTCTGCTTTTTATGTGGATTCATGCTTACATATTCCCAGTTCTTCAGATGTCAGATTCTTTTCTTGACAACGTACAATCTTTATTGTTCTACTGGGATCATGGATGGCAGCAGTTATCCATACATGGTAAAAGGAAAAGCCGGTTCAGAAGTATGATATCACAGACGCCATATATAGAGCAGGTAACTAGTTGTATTTATCCTTCTCTCAATCTTGTTCTCACCTCTAATAATAAATAACATGTTCGTTTTTTTTATTTTAAAAGTATTTTAAAAAAATTTAAAATTTTTTAAATTTTAAATTAATATTTTTTGATATTTTAAAATTATTTTGATATATTAATATTAAAATTAATTTTTTTAAAAATAAAAAGAATACTATTATACTATATTTTTAAATAAATAATATTTTAAAAAATAACTACAACAATTCCTTTTAACATGCGATTACAAGAAAAATGATTCCTTCTAAATCAATAAAAAAACAAAAGATCAGTTCAGTAAAAGGAAAAGTCCTTGATGATGTGTGGGGGTGCTACAATAGCCTTGCTTCACTTAAGATACCATATTTTTAGGAGATTGTATTTATGTTTTATTTCAAATATAGATATAATTTATTTATAAAAAAAATATAATGTATTTTTCATGAGTGTTATAGTGTTTTTACATTTAAAATATAAGAAAAAAAAACAAATTATTATTGCTTTTTGCACGACTAGGTCACTAAATAGTATAGCATGCTATATTATTCATATCAATAGTAAAGATATTCTTTATTGTTTACATGAACAGTGAAGGATGCTCTATTATCCTAGCCGGATTAGGTTCGGTTCAAAGCTTAAAATATATTAAATTAGGTTTGACCTAGTAAAATAAAAATAAAAATTATTTTTTATTTTTTAATTGTGTTTTATTTGAAAAACTAGTATTTAAAAATATTCAATAACACTATATAAATTAAACAGAGATCGCTTGATGACATATTATTAGTAGAATTTGATCGCAATCCCAATTTTATTCCTAATTATATTTTACTTGATATTGTTGTCTATTTAAAAAACAAAAAAAAATTATAATCTTTGTCGGATGTATTTTATACGTGATAAAATTATAGATAGTATAATGAAATAATAAAAAATATTTTATATAAAATATTATTTATTTCATGATGTAATAACAATAGTTAAATCTACAATATTTAAATTAAAAATTATTAATATTAATATATTTTTTAAAATTATTTTATAACTTTAATTTCAAAAGCATTCTTAATCAAATACATTAAATTATTTTTTATTTAACTTTAATTTTAATCATAATATTAACTAACTATATATAAATATCAAATTAACTTTAACTAAAAATAATTTTTCAAAAATAATTTTTTTAAATTATAATTATAAAAACTATTACAATACCAAACACTTACTAAACACTTACTAAAGGTGAGACAAGCTGACTAATCATGTTCTTAATGGCCTACTTCATATCAAAATATGCCTAAATAATACGAGATGACACATGTTTGTTCAGTAGATGTACTGTATTCATCATAGCTTTGCAAGATGTGCAGTTTTTTTCATCTTGCTTCTCATCTTGTAGCACAGATCCAAGCCTGCAAGTCTTTCCCAAGAAGGCATTGAGTGTACATCTGATGTTGCTTCATTGAATGGATTACTAGGATTCTACATTTACAGTATTAAAGGGTAAGATTGAAAGAGGAAAAAAAACTAGAAACGATCAAGATGGGAAGGATTGGGTATTTTGGGATGCTAATCTTTGGTCTTTTAGCATTTATAGGCTCAACCGAAGCTCAACTAAAGATGGGTTTTTATAATACAAGCTGCCCGAAAGCTGAGAAGATTGTGCAAGGCTTTGTAAACCAGCACATCCACAACGCTCCATCTTTGGCCGCAACCTTAATCAGAATGCATTTCCATGATTGCTTTGTCAGGGTATGTATTTGCATATTTACTGCAGAATGTTGCATGTGTTGATTTTTCAGATTGTGAGATAACACGAGAGGAAACTTTTTTGCCAGGGTTGCGATGCATCTGTGCTGCTGAACACAACTTCCGGCGAACAACCTGAAAGGGCAGCTACTCCAAATCTAACACTCAGAGGCTTTGACTTCATCGACAGAGTGAAACGCCTAGTTGAAGCTGAATGTCCTGGAATTGTGTCTTGTGCTGATATCCTCACCTTGGTCGCTAGGGACAGTATAGTAGCCACAGTATGTAACTCCACAACAAAACAAAAAAATCTATGCTCTAATACTATTCATTACTCGAGAAACAAAAATAAATTTTCTTTTCAATGTTGACAGGGAGGTCCATACTGGAGAGTTCCGACTGGCCGGCGAGACGGTTTGATCTCCAGGTCCTCAGAGGCCTTGTCCAACGTCCCATCTCCCATGATCAACTTCACCACTTTACAAACACTGTTTGCTAACCAAGGTCTTGATTTGAAAGACCTGGTCTTGCTTTCTGGTACGTCCCGTTTGACATTTTCACTGCGTGACGCATTCTTACGTGCTAAATCATGGATCATCTAATCAAATCGATTCTTCCAGGTGCTCATACCATTGGCATTGCTCATTGTCAATCGTTTTCGAACCGGCTATACAATTTCACTGGGATTGGAGATGAAGACCCAGCTCTAGATAGCGAATATGCTGCGAATTTGAAGGCTAGGAAGTGCAAAAGTATTAGCGATAACACTACTATAGTTGAGATGGACCCTGGAAGCAGAAAGACATTTGATCTTAGCTACTATAAACTCTTGCTAAAGAGAAGAGGTCTATTTCAATCAGATGCTGCCTTGACCACAAACCCTAACACATTGTCTATGATCCGCCAATTACTAGAGGGTTCACTAGATTTCCGTTCTGAATTTTCCAAATCCATGGAGAAAATGGGCAGAATTCGTGTTAAAACTGGCTCGAATGGTGAGATTAGAAGGCAATGTGCTTTGGTTAATAGCTAAGGCTTAGTGTGTTGTTTTTGTTGTTTTTTCTTATTTATTTATTTTATTGAAGAGAGAATATACCATTCGTAGATTGGGTTTGATTAGTATTCTAAGACAGAAGTGTGTTTGTTTAGAGAAAAAAAAAGATAAAAATATAAAATAAATATATTTTAAAAACAAAAAATACAAGAAATAATATCTATTTATGTTAACTGTTTACATCTCTTCTATCTTGAAATCTTAAAACAGTAACCAAACATTACTTGAAATTTTATCAAGAAATACAAGACCAGTGGCAAAGGCAAAGAAGCTAGCACGGATCCCATCTCCGGCAACAAAATATTTTTTAATTTTTTTTTAATTTTAATTTTCTTTTATAATATTTTAATTTAATTTTTTTTAATTTTTTTTCCGCTCCACCCCTACCAAGACGTGATAGTGGTATATGTAATTTGTTCTTAAAGATTTTTTTTTCTTTTTTGGTGTGATATATTGTAATGTTACTTTCATGCTCTTTCGTTAGGAATGATGTGAATCCACATGTGATAATCAAAATCTACAAGTTAACCAAACATTTGCCAATACTTAGCAACAACAAGTCCTAAGGAGATTTCCAGGCTGATTGGATACCTTAGCAATGCCTTGAGATCCCATGGAATGCAAGTTCTAACTTCAAAGTAACGATGACTTGCAGATGTTACGTAACTTGAAGTGCAAAAACTCTATTATTCTAACCTTGTTGGAAGCAATTTATCCTAGGAGAAACAAAATATGTGCTCCTAGGAAAAAATGATTGGCTAATAGTGAAAGCCCATCATGATGTCGTCAATTTGTCATAGGTTAAAGCATCAAGTTTATAATTTGGGGCCACAGCCTCGCCTTTTCATACTCAGAAAAAATTGAAGAGTCAAATCATTCCTCTGCACCTCTCATTCTCCTAACTCTACACAAGTAACTGGATCTGTGGGTCTGCGTTAAATTGATATAGAAAATAGAAATATTTTAAGAAAATAAAACTTGGGATATAGAAAGTATGGAGAATCTGAAAAAGAAACAAAAAAAAATACAAATAAAAAGCCCCCGAAATATTCTGGGTTGTTTTGAAAATTAAAAAAAATTATATAAAAAACAGATAAACAAACAAAACCTAATCACTAATTATATAAATATTAAATAATAAAATTAAAAAAAAAAAATAAACCAAACAAACACAAGTGATCATTCTAAACCTAAGTTGGGATCTCAAACCCGCACAAAACCTAATCACTAATTATATAAATATTAAATGATAAAATTAAAAAAAACATGAAATTAAAAAAATAAATAAACCAAGTAAACCAAGTGATCATTCTGAACCTAAGTTGGGATCTCAAACCCGCATCTATTAAATCCTAGACACGTGCTAAATCAAAAAAAAATAATTCTCAACTAATTTAATATTAATTAACCAAAGCATATCCAACAAATAAAATAGAAAAACCCAATAAAACCTTGATTATTTTCAAAATCAGTAAAAAATCTTATAAAAAATAAATAAAAATAACAAAGCATGGTCTTTAATTTAATAAATATTGCAGAATGAAACTTAAAAAACATAGCTTAAATAAATGGGAGGATAAAAAAAGGCACACCAGTGTGAATCTCTTGTAGCTTAAACCTGAGTTAATCTTTAAAATTCAAAGCCAGTGAAATCATAGATCCGAACTTAATCAAGAAGCTCAATTCTCAAACCAATCTGATATCAAATGATGGAATTAAAAAATATCAATTTAAAATATGTTAAAGAAACAAAAATAGTAATAAAAATAACAATAATCAAATTTGGTAAGAAAACAAACTTAAGGATAATGAAATTTAAAAAAAATCAAAAATTTATTTCAAATAAAATAAATAGCATTCAAAAGAATAAGGACTAAATTTGAAATATTAAAAAATTAAAGAGGGTTAAATTGAAATAAAATTAACTTTAAAAATTCTTTTAAAAATTTATTCCAAATATTTAAGGATGGAATAAAAAAAAAATATTGATTTAAAGAAATAACCAAAAAAACCCAAAAAATAAAGATAAATAAAAATATTCACAAGAACAACAAAACATTATATAGAAAGTAAATACACAAAAAGAACAGAACCCAATCTTCAATTGAATAAATATAAAAAGATAAAAATAAAGAAATCTAGCTTAAACAAAAGAAAATAAAAACCAAGAAAATATGGTGTAAACCTCCTAAACTTGATCTAATCTATAAAACTCATGACTTGTGAAATTATAAATTTTAATATAATCAAAAAGCTTAATCTAATCTATAAAACTCATGACTTGTGAAATTCTAAATTTTAATATAATCAAAAAGCTTAATTCTTAATCAATTTAATATTGAAAAATAAAATTATAAAAAAAAATATCAACTTAAAAAACTTTTCAAAGTAACAAAAATAAAAAAAATAAAAAAAGAAGATTAAATTTGATTGGAAAAAAAACTAAAACAAGATGAAATTGTAAGAAAAAAAATTAGAAAATGATCTAAAAAAACAAATAGTAATTAAAAGATCATGAATCAATTTTTAAAGATAAAAAAATAAAAAATGAAATTAAAAAAAATAATATTTATTTAAATTATTCAAAATAAAAAAAAAATAATCAAAATGACAAAGACCATATGTTAGGGAAAAAAATTGAAGGAGCTGGCTTTGAATCTTGAAGGGAGTGGTATGGAATTCAGGGTAGATAGAAAGAAGAATGATAAAAATGAACATAATGATAGAAAAAATAACGTGAGGTAATCTATCAAATTTACATCTTGAATTATAAGACTAGAATAATTTAATAAAAAGCAAGTTAAAATAAATTATAAAGTTTAATTTTTAATTAATCTAATGTTTAAAAATGAATTTTAAAAAAATATATTAAAAGGCATAAAAACTGGCTTGAATCAACCCGAATTAATTCGGCAAACTCGTGACCCAAGTCACAAGATGGAAATAATATTATAAAAAACAAACCGAAACAAATCATGAAGCATAATTCCCAATTAATTCGATATTTTATGATGAAATTAGAAAGAAAAACAATTAGAAAAAGAAAAAAATAAATTCATTGAATTAACCCGTCAAACTTGTAACCCTAATTATAAAAATAAAATAACCTTATTAAAATAAATTAAAAAAAGTATAAAGTCCAACCCATAGTAAATCTAATATTGAATGGTATAATTGAAATTAAAAAAAATAAATTGTAAAACAAAACCAAATAAAGAAAACACTATTATAGTAATTAGTATTCTGTATGGAGGAATATATTAAAACCCCTCAGCTTTTAGTGTTTTTTGTTAATTGTTAATAATTAAATATTATTGTCCTAGCCAATAACAAAAATCTTATATTACAAATACTGATTTCACTAAATCTTTTTATTTTAGATTAAAAAATTATATTTATGAGGCTACAAAATTTTATAATCTTTAATTTTTTTAATATATTAATTTAGATATGAATAACCAATCTATCTTAAAACTTGGTTTAAAAAATATTTAGAATCTTTAGAATTTATTGTATTTTATTAATGTTTTATGATAGAAATAATAGATACAAAAAGAACATAAATCGTATTTGACTGGAGAAATGAAGATAAAGATAAAATTATAAAATAATTTTTTATATACAATATTTTTTATATTGAATCTATATCATTGTAAAATTAAATATATATAAAATATATTTTATTTATCTCTGTTTTTAAAGAAAATAACCAAATGGTAGTCCCAAAATAAATGGCCTATATACAATAAATGTTGTTTTTTTAATAATTTAAAATTAAAAAATATATTATTTGCAATGAATAAAATTAGGATTATGATCAAATTCTGAAAATACTACGTCATAAAGCAATTTTCTTCTAATTTTTTAAATAAAACATAATTAAAAATTAAAATTAAAATTAAAATTTCTAACCAGGTTGGACTCGACAAGAACAAAATCAGGATTGTGATTAAATTCTATAAATACTAAGTTATCAACCAATCTCCTTCTAATTTTTTAAATAAAACATAATTAAAAAAAAATATTTTTTAACTGGATCGAACCCGACAAGAATAAAATGGGAATTGCGATTAAAGTTTACAAATACGATGTAATCAAGCGATCTCCTTCTAATTTTTTAAATAAAATATAATTAAAAAAATAAAAATTAATTTTTTTAAAATCAGATCCGGTTAAATGCATTTAGGTTTAAATCAAATCCGGACCAACCAGAACGGTAAAGAGGGACTCTGCTGTTCACGTGAACAGTAGAATTTCCTTCTTCACTATTCACTCAATTACATAAACAGTAAAAAGTTTGCTTTCCATTATACAAGTACAGAACAGGAGGAAGAAAAATAAAAAAATTGCTTCAACTAAACCTGCGATTTCACCTTATTTTTTATGAATCCCATTCCCCCAAACACAACCACACCTTATAACTAAACATTGTATTACTGAATTTTTTACAAAAAAAACCATCAGCTGTTACAGAGCCAAATGCCCACTAAGGTTCAAAACTCAGGCCCGCATCCTAAAACCCAATCACATCACAAACTCCCAGTCTGAAACCCTAGTTTTCATGCTACCAAACACTTAACTACAGCCCCTATATAGACAATAAAACCTTCACAGCCTGATATCGTCTCTTAGCCTGTCCACCTCCATCCGATCTATAAATCCCATCTTGAGTTCTCCTTTTTTCTCCCTTTCTTCATTGTTTAACTCCATTTCTGCTTATGCGTTATGGTGTTTTGGTACACAAGAGGCTGCTTTTATTCAAGAAAAGAGTGCTGTGATGAAGCAAATTGTTTGTGGACTAGAGTTTCTGATCTGGGCTTCTTCTCCCGGAACTTGATTACTAACCCTTGGCTGTCTGAGCACCCTTCTTTTTTCTCTCATTCCTTTTATATCCCACTTCTTTTTCCCTTGGTTTTGCTTCTTTTGGGTTTGTTTTCGTGGGATAAATTTGGTGTTCTGGAGAAAAAGATTTTCCTTATGGGCAATCGGGCTTATGATGATAACATAATTATCTTAGCGGATTTCAGTGAGATTCTTAAGTCAATGATCTGATTGTTACACACACTGAAGCCCTTCTAATTAAAATCCATTTCGTGATCGATGTTTTTAATTTTTAATTTTTTGGCTTTAATGGATTTTTTATCAAAAGGGATTTGTTGCTATGAAGAGGTTAAGCACTTGAAATGTGTTGAAGGGCAGTGGACAGGTACTTGAGTACTTGCCGTGAGCTTTCTTTAATAACGACTTCTCCTTCCACTGAGCTTCTAATCCCATTTTAAATACATTGATCTTAGGTTTAATTTTGTTTTCATTGTTAATTATGTGTTAAGTCATTGTGGGCTAATTATGTGAAATGCTGCGCCCATTACCAATTCTGGGGGATTATCGGTTCCTCTTGGCATAATGGCTCGGGTGCCATATCCAGTTTGTGGCCTATCCTGATTAATGGCTGATATCAGTGCCATCTAATCCTGGAAACACCACATACATTTTCTTGTCTAACAAACCCTTGCTTACAATCAAAAGTGAGGCTGTTGGGTTGATTGAACCTGATCACTTAAGGGTTTTCTAGAATTAAAAGTCTAATCAAGTAAAAAAAATGAAACCTGGAGTCAGAGAACTGACGGTTTCCGGAGCAGACATGGAAACCCTTTCTTATGTGCCCAACGGCTATTTTTGGACAGCTTTGTACCAATTTCCATTCGGAATCCGGAACAGACATGGAAACCCTTGCATTTCCTTTCTATAAAAAGACTTCGTTAGGGAAACAATTTCACACTTTCTCTGCTAATCGGTTTTCTTCCAACTCCAGGCAAGTATTTCAAGCGGAAGCATGGAGCCATCGTCATCTTCTGTCTATTCAACTCAGTTTCTTGCCAAAAAGGTTACTGTAGAGTTCATTATTGTCAAGGAATCTCATGTTGGCTTACAAGTTAGTAGACAACAATTCCTGTTGGGACTGTGGGAGTTGGTGTTGAGAAATCATAGATACAAGCAAATGTTTACCAACGCAGACATCAGTTTATCTTCAGCCATGAAAGCTACTCTGCACTTCGCCATCTCTGATCAAGCTCGTAAACTCCACGGTGAAATTGACCACATATTTGTCTGCGTTCTGCACCCGAGGTTCAATATCATGACTGGAATTCATGTTGATGAGGATAAGGCGGTCTCGTGGGATGCTGTCGAAAACCCTGAAAATCCTGTATTGCCAGCTTGCAAGCCACCGATTCCATGCTTGAAGAAAGTAAAGATTAAGCAACAAGATCTGGGTTCCATGAATGAAGAGCAATGCTGTGCAATTTGCTTGCAAGACTTTCCTGATGGGTCTGAAGCTGCTGCTACTAGATGCTCTCACCTGTTTCATTGCCATTGCATTGTCAAGTGGCTATCCAGGAGCACTTCTTGCCCTATGTGTCGTTCTAAGCTGCCAGTTGGTTGATTCAAGGACCAAGATTTGTTGTCTTTTTTGTCTTCTCTTTCCTTGTTTTAAGGAACAGTGCTATGTTGTTGTCAAACTGGGTCCATTGTGATTGGATTACGGTTCGATCAAAGTCTGGTCAAATTAACTAAAGTCCGTCAAAATCAGCGAGGTTGATTGTTTTTTATTCGATTAATATCTTGTCTAATTCAATTAAGAATCTGAACCAAATCAGACTTTGGATCAAGTTTTTTATGACAATAATGTTTGATTAAATTAGTTTAACGACTGAAAAGATCAAATTGTTAGTTTCTCCTGGTATACAGGCTCGAGTGCCACATAAATTATAAACCCTAGCCTAATTAATGGTTAATTTTGTTGAAACAAGACGCGCTTCTTTTACAAAAATCTCCCAACCTCTTACTGAGAAATACTCATGAAGACAAAGTATTCAACCTGATAATGGTTAAATTAAATAAGTATTTGTTTTTGTGTTACGGGTTTTTTTAACTCATTTTTCATCTGAAATATATTAAAATGATTTTTTTAAAAAATTATAATTTCAATGTTCTGATATTAAAAATAAAAAAATATATCATTTTAATATATTTTTATTTAAAAAAATATTATTGAAAACATATCTCACCACAGTAACAAATATTCAAGTTTTCAATTTTTAAAATGGTATGTTAGAAGTTAAAAAAAATGAAAACTACTTTAATTATATTATTGGTGATTGTTAAAACGTTGGAATCTAATTATATTGAGCATTGAGGTATTAATTCTCTAGCCAAAATGATTATAGATTCAAAACTATAATCCTTGGCATTTAATTGGATTTATTAGATCAATACATTTAATTCTCAATTGTGTGGACAGTTGGACTACATTTGCATCGAAAGTTTCATTTAAAAAAATATATGGATCAAGTTAATTTTAAATTTGACCTTAAAATATCTTTTAATAAGTTTTATGAAATTAAACATATTTTTCAAACCATATATTGAATAGAGCTAAAATTTTGTAGGAAAATATTAGATACATGAAATATATTACTGTAAATTTTAAGATCAAATGGTTTTGGAATATAATATTTCAAAGGATTAAAGTTGGTAGATGAATCTTGTCAAATATGTCAAACTAGACCTTCATGTATTGTTTGTAATATATCTGCAGCTACCAGTTAAATTTTTCTACGAAGTTGGGTTGAAAACTTAACATCTAAAGCATTCCAACCATATATCATAGGCCGGGTAATTCATCCAAAAGAAAAGGAAAAACATGTTTGAAATTAGAACTTGAATCTACCGAGAATATACGAAAATTGAAGATTGGGGCTGTATGGAAAAGTTTCAACATGAATTTTTTTATTATTCTATTTTATTTATTTATTTATTTTAAATAATTATTTTTATTTTAATTTTTTTCTAGCGCATTAAACATTGTTTAGGGATTTATTTTATTATTGAATTTATATTAGTTAATTACTAATTTAAGCTTGTTAGCTTGCAATCCAAAATGTGTCCATTAGGACTTATTGTGATAGGAGCAACCAAGTTATCATCAAGTCCATGTGTACTTCCTACCATTTAGGGATTCCCTTGCATTGAGAAGTTTTGTTATGAGATTTTTTATTTATCTATGTCATTAATTTATTGATTCATATTATCTATCTTTTTTATTTTATTTTATTTAGATCACTTATTGATTATAATATTGTTAAATTTCTTTATCAGATTTTAATGTAATTTAATTTTTTGGCTAAAATTATCAATATATAATTAGTTAAAATAATTACTTATAATTTTACGATTCAAGTGTAGGATCTAAATTTATATTGTATTTTTCAATATTATGTTAAAAAAATATTTTTAGTACCCTAGTTGCAATCCATAATAATTTATATTATAGGAATCTATGTAAAAAAACTACAGTGAAAACCCACCTCATTATGTTTTCTTTATAATAGGCTATTCTTTGAAATGAGCATCTCCAATCTGAATCGAGAAGGGATAAGGATTTCCTTAAACTCCCTCTAACCATTATTATCTCTAGTTTTTTAGGCCAACAATTTATAGACATGCTTCCTTTTGCAATAGTAAGCATATTTTATAAAATTTTGAAATTTTTTAGGCAGGCTTTGAAGATCGAGCAGATCTTGGGTCATAATAAAGGGCACATGATGTCTTTTTTATTCAGTGCATATCATGTTTTTAAAAAATTTAAATTTTTTTATTAAAATTTAATATATTTTACATGTTTTGAATCGTTTTTGATGTACTAATATTAAAAATAATTTTTAAAAAATAAAAAAATATTACTGACATATATTCCAATACAAAAAGTTTTTTTAAAAATAACCATAATCATACAGCAAATAATTATTTGAAAAGATCTCATGTGTACGTTTTCTATTGTATCATTAATTGGCTATTGAAGAGAGCTACATGCCCTGTTTGTCATTCTAGGTTGCGAAATATTTGTTCTAATGGATAAAATTTTCTTAGTGGAAAATACATGAAAACAAGTTTTAGATTGAATAAAAACATACATTAAATTAAACCATTAAATCTCAATTGACCTAGTTGGATTTTTTATTTTTTTAATAAAAAAATATTAATTTAATAAAAATAATTAATTTAAATCATTCTAACAATAATTCCCGAGTTAACCTAGCTACTCGGCCAAAAAAAAAAGTTCCTAAATTGTTGGATTGTAAATTTGTATTAGGTTTCCATGTTTTAATTTGTATCCAACAAGTACAAGAATTCCTTCAGCCCTTGGGACTACCCAATATAACTATTCCTAATCATCTACTGCACACTTACCAAACTTAAAATAAGAGAAATAATCATGAGGAACAATGGCTATGCTCTAAAGAGTTTTCTTGCCAAAGAACTAATGATCGATTTCATCGTTGTCAAAGAAACAAAACATGGCTTGGAACCTAAGGCTAGAGTCAAATTTCAGGCACAATGTATGGACAATGTATTGTTTTTCTTCAAAGAAATCCGAAGCACTGAACTGATATTGGACACCTTAGGCATCCGTTAATCTTCAGAAGACAAAGAAGACTTACTTGAGATAATATGTTTCCATGTTAAGATTTTCTAGCTGTAAGTGTTAGTTATCCTTGATTGCAGGATTGTTTCCATTATTGTTAATAAGACCTATTCTTTAGGAAGAAGTCATTTAATAAGGTTTGACTTAGTCATATACCACATTTCTAAGATTACAAAGCATGGGTTGCACATTTCAATTTTAGTTTCGTTCTGTAAGGCTATTTATTGGCCAGAGTTAATCTGTTTCAAAACAAGAAGTTTCTTCAAGCATTTACTATTCTAGTAAACATATATTTACTAGTTTTTCTAGAGTATTCATCTTAAGTTTGCAACATCTAGTATCAGAGCCTGGTTCAAAGTTATTTCATCGATCAACTATGACGACTGAAAGTAGTTTTGTGCAACCTGCAATTCCAAAGTTTGATGGATACTATGATCATTGCTGCATGCTCATGGAGAATTTCTTACGCTCCAAAGAATATTGTAGTTTGGTAAAGACTAGAATTCCTGCCGCAGCAGACGAGGACAATCTCACTGATGAACAACGAAGATCATTGCTGATTAAAGGCTAAAGGATTTGAAGGCTAAGAATTACTTGTTTCAGGCCATTGATAGATCAATCCTAGAGACAATATTGAAGAAGGATACTACAAAAGACATCTGGGACTCATTGAAGCAGAAGTACCAAGGCACAGCACACGTCAAACGTGCATAGTTACAAGCTCTTCGTAAAGAGTTTGAAATTCTGTATATGAAGGAAGGGGAATCCATGAATGTTTATTTTACACGAACTCTCACCATAGCCAACAAGATGCGAATTCATGGGAGAAGATGGAAAATGTGGTGATCATCGAAAAAATCTTAAGATCAATGACTGCTAAATTTAACTATGTGGTTTGTTCCATTGAAGTGTCGAATGATCTTGACATTTTATCCATCGATGAATTACAAAGTAGCTTATTGGTACACGAGCAAAGGATGGGAAGACACACAATGGAAGAGCATGATCTAAAGGTCACTCATGATGTTCAACAAGGTGGGCGAGGTGATCGCCACAGTTTCAGAGGAAGAGGATGAGGAAGGGGTAGGAATATTTTTGACAAGTCTACCATTGAATGTTACAACTGTCATGAACTTGAACACTTTCAATGGGAATGTCCTAAGAAGGAACAGGTTTCAAGAGGATTTTATGCAGCAACTAGTGAAGAAATACTACTAATGGCTTATGTGAATATCAAAAAGGCTGATCGATCGAAAAGAATTATGGTTCCTGGACTCTGGTTATAGCAAACACATGTGTGGCAAGAAGGAGATGTTCACAGATTTGGATGATACTTTCAGGAAATCTGTGAAGTTGGGGAATAACTCAAGTTTGGCTGTGCTAGGAAAGGGAAATGTCCGTATGGAAGTTAATGGAATCATACAAGTCATTATTGGAGTATTTTATGTACTGGATTTATAAAATAATTTACTAAGCATTGGACAGTTGCAAGAGAAGGGTCTTGTTTTTGTTATCAAACAAGGCAAGTGCAGGATTTATCATCTAGAGAGAGGACTGATCTGGGAGACCGTAATGGCAGCAAACTAAATGTTTATCATATTGGCTCGCACACAATCACAAGGACAGAAGTGCTTCAACACTACTACAGAAGATCAATCTCATATATGGCATCGTAGATATGGGTATTTAGGTTAGAGTGGTCTCAAACTTCTTCAGCAAAATAATATGGTGAAGGGTTTACCAACATTCCAAGCACACATAAGAGGCCGTGGAGAATGTCTGGTGGGGAAATAGCAACGCAATCCGTTTTCAAAGAAGAGTACGTGGAGGGCATCTCAGATTCTTCAACTTGTGCATGCAGACATATATGGGCTAATTAATCCAATCTTAAAGAGTAAGAAAAGGTATCTTATCTCTTTCATTGATGACTATAGCAGAAAAACATGGGTGTATTACTTGGTTGAGAAATCAGAAGCTCTTCACATTTTCAAAAGTTTCATAGCAAAGGTTGAGAAGGAAACCAGTTTAAGCATACGAGGTCTGCATACAGATCATGGGGGTGAATTCACATCATTAGAGTTCACAGATTTTTGCACAACAAATGGCATTCAAAGATAGTTAACAGCTTCATATACTCCACAACAGAATGATATTGCAAAGAGGAAGAATCGAACTATTATGAACATGGTTCGCGTCATTCTTACAGAGAAAGAAACTCCAAGAACATTTTGGCCAGAAGCTGTCAACTGGACTATTCATGTTCTGAACAAAAGTCCAACTTTTGCAATGAGAAATATGACGCCAGAAGAAGCATGGAGCGGCTCTAAACCATCATTGGAGCACTTCAGGGTTTTTAGATGCTTAGCACACGTCCATATTCCTGAGAGTAAGAGGGTTAAACTTGATAACAGAAGTATGAAGTGCATTCTACTAGGAGTCAGCGAGGAATTCAAGGCCTATCGTCTTTTCAATCCAGCTTCTAAGACGATAGTGGTAAGTCGGGATGTTATTTTTAAAGAAGATAAAGCTTGAGACTGGAATGCCACTCACCAAGAACCACTCATGGCTGATCTTGAATGGGATATCACTGGAGATACAGTTCCACGAAATAATAACAATGTAGTAAAATCTGCACCTTATGAGCAGTCTTTAGAAAGCGAGGCACATGATGATAACAATGTAGCAGAGTCTGCAACTAATGAGCAATATCAAGAACATGAGGAATTTGTTCCTAATGATCAGACTCACACGACTGCCATTGCAGGACGTGTTCGACGATAGCCTAGTTGGATGAATGACTATATGAGTCACATTAATTTCTCCAAGGAGGAAGGTCAGGCGCATTTAGTTTTATTTGCTGAGCATGGTCCCATTACTTGTGCTCAGGCGCATTTAGTTTTATTTGCTGAGCACGATCCCATTACTTGTGCACAGGCTGTGTAAAGTGACAAATGGACGAAAGCAATGGATGCAGAGATTGGTGCGATAGAAAGGAATAACACATGGGAGTTGACAGAAGTGCCAGCAACAGGAAAAGTGATTGGGGTTGAATGAATTTACAAAACCAAACTCAACGAGAAAGGTGAAGTCGATAAGTACAAGGCTCGTTTGGTTACAAAAGGGTATAGCCAGCAATATGGGATCGATTATGCAGAAGTGTTTGCACCTGTGGCTCGTTTGATACAGTTCGTATCATTCTTTCAATTGCAGCTCAGCATGGTTGGAATGTTTTTCAGCTTGATGTAAAATCAGCTTTTCTACACGGTGAATTAAATGAAGATGTATTCGTTGCACAGCCGCCAGGCTATGAATGAAAGTGGTATGAGCACCAGGTATATAAGCTTAAAAAGGCTTTATACGGTCTTAAACAGGCTCTTCGACCTTGGTACAACCACATTAATTCTTATTTCTTGCAGGAAGGCTTCGAAAAGTGTCCACATGAACACACCTTATTTGTCAGACAAATGGATGGAGGTAAAATTTTACTTGTCTGTCTTTATGTGGATGATCTTATATTCACGGGAAATGATGCATCTATGTTCAGTACATTCAAGCATTTTATGATGATGAGTTTGATATGACTGATCTTAGGAAAATGAGTTATTTTCTTGGCTTAGAAGTACTTCAAACATCGGATGGCATCTCTATTAATCAACGAAAATATGCTCAAGAAGTGCTGGCAAGGTTTAATATGAGTCAATGTAATGCAGTTCATAATCCTGTTGTTCCTGGTTTCAAAATCATGAAGGATGAAGGGGGAGTCGAAGTTGACAGCACCATGTTAAAAAGAATTGTGGGCAACCTTATGTACTTAATAGCAACGTGACCAGACATGATGTATGTTATCAGTTTAATTAGCAGGTTCATAGAACGACCTACTGAGTTGCATCTTAACGTTGCCAAAAGAGTGTTGCAATACTTAAAGGGCACCATGAATTTTAGGTTGTTGTATAGAAAGGGAGAACAATAAGAACTAATTGGGTAAATTGACAGTGATTATGCTAGCGATCAAGATGATCAAAAAAGTACTTCTGGGTATATTTTTATGTTAAGTTCAGGGGCAGTTTCATGGCTAATTTTTAAAATGGTATGTTAGAAATTAAAAAAATGAAAACTGATTTAATTATTTTATTGGTATGTTTTTATGTTAAGTTCAGGGGCAATTTCATGGTCCTCGAAGAAACAACCTGTGGTCACTTTATCTACCACTGAAGCTGAGTTTATAGCCGCTGCATCCAGTGCATGTCAAGCAGTTTGGTTAAGCAGAATCTTGCAGCAACTTAATCATGAACCACGGAAGTCTACAACAATTTATTGTGATAATAGTTCAACTATTAAGCTTTCAAAGAATCCAGTGCTGCATGGGCGTAGCAAATATATAGATGTTCGGTTCCATTTTCTTCGAGAGCTCACCAAGGATGAAGTCTTTGAATTGATTCAGTGTTCTTTACAGGAACAGGTGACAGGCATCATGATAAAGCCTTTGAAGCTGGACGTGTTTCAGAACTTGAGAAAACGATTGGGTGTTTATTCACTCGTGGATATAAACTAATTGCTGATAGCATTTAGTTTAAGGGAGAATATTAAGATTTTCTGTTAAGATTTCCTAGTTGTAAGTGTTAGTTATCCTTTATTGCAGCATTGTTTCCATTATTGTTAATAAGACCTATTCTTTAAGAATAAGTCATTTGATAAGATTTGACTTAGTCATATATCACGTTTCGAGGATTACAAAGGGTGGGCTGCACATTTCAATTTTAGTTTCGTTTTGTAAAGCTATTTTTTCGCTAGAGTTATTCTGTTTCAATACAAAAAGTTTCTTAAGCATTTACTATTCTAGTAAACATATGTTTACTAGTTTTTCTAGAATATTCATCTTAAGTTTACAACATTCCATGCTTATGAAAATGCCCTTTGAAAGCGATCACTTGTTCGTGAGCATTGTGGCCTCTGAGGCATGCGAAACCGACAACGACGAGAGCGGAGTGATTATCAAGTTTAAACTTACGACTGGGATTCATGTAGATGATGATGATAAAGCAAGCTCCTGGGATTTATTTAAGGAACCCTTTGATCTGGTGCTACAAGCTTGCAAACCGCCAATTCCATGCTTACAGAAAATTAAAGGGTGCTGTGATGAAGCAAAATGTTTGTGGACTGGAGTTTCTGAAGAGCTTTCTGAGCACCCTTTTTTTTTCTCTCATTCCTTTTATATCCCACTTCTTTTTCCCTTGGTTTTGCTTCTTTTGGGTTTGTTTTCGTGGGATAAATTTGGTGTTCTGGAGAAAAAGATTTTCCTTATGGGCAATCGGGCTTATGATGATAACAGTTATCTTAGCGGATTTCAGTGAGATTATTAAGTCAATGATCTGATTGTTACACACACTGAAGCCCTTCTAATTAAAATCCATTTCGTGATCGATGTTTTTAATTTTTAATTTTTTGGCTTTAATGGATTTTTTATCAAAAGGGATTTGTTGCTATGAAGAGGTTAAGCACTTGAAATGTGTTGAAGGGCAGTGGACAGGTACTTGAGTACTTGCCGTGAGCTTTCTTTAATAACGACTTCTCCTTCCACTGAGCTTCTAATCCCATTTTAAATACATTGATCTTAGGTTTAATTTTGTTTTCATTGTTAATTATGTGTTAAGTCATTGTGGGCTAATTATGTGAAATGCTGCGCCCATTACCAATTCTGGGGGATTATCGGTTCCTCTTGGCATAATGGCTCGGGTGCCATATCCAGTTTGTGGCCTATCCTGATTAATGGCTGGTATCAGTGCCATCTAATCCTGGAAACACCACATACATTTTCTTGTCTAACAAACCCTTGCTTACAATCAAAAGTGAGGCTGTTGGGTTGATTGAACCTGATCACTTAAGGGTTTTCTAGAATTAAAAGTCTAATCAAGTAAAAAAAATGAAACCTGGAGTCAGAGAACTGACGGTTTCCGGAGCAGACATGGAAACCCTTTCTTATGTGCCCAACGGCTATTTTTGGACAGCTTTGTACCAATTTCCATTCGGAATCCGGAACAGACATGGAAACCCTTGCATTTCCTTTCTATAAAAAGACTTCGTTAGGGAAACAATTTCACACTTTCTCTGCTAATCGGTTTTCTTCCAACTCCAGGCAAGTATTTCAAGCGGAAGCATGGAGCCATCGTCATCTTCTGTCTATTCAACTCAGTTTCTTGCCAAAAAGGTTACTGTAGAGTTCATTATTGTCAAGGAATCTCATGTTGGCTTACAAGTTAGTAGACAACAATTCCTGTTGGGACTGTGGGAGTTGGTGTTGAGAAATCATAGATACAAGCAAATGTTTACCAACGCAGACATCAGTTTATCTTCAGCCATGAAAGCTACTCTGCACTTCGCCATCTCTGATCAAGCTCGTAAACTCCACGGTGAAATTGACCACATATTTGTCTGCGTTCTGCACCCGAGGTTCAATATCATGACTGGAATTCATGTTGATGAGGATAAGGCGGTCTCGTGGGATGCTGTCGAAAACCCTGAAAATCCTGTATTGCCAGCTTGCAAGCCACCGATTCCATGCTTGAAGAAAGTAAAGATTAAGCAACAAGATCTGGGTTCCATGAATGAAGAGCAATGCTGTGCAATTTGCTTGCAAGACTTTCCTGATGGGTCTGAAGCTGCTGCTACTAGATGCTCTCACCTGTTTCATTGCCATTGCATTGTCAAGTGGCTATCCAGGAGCACTTCTTGCCCTATGTGTCGTTCTAAGCTGCCAGTTGGTTGATTCAAGGACCAAGATTTGTTGTCTTTTTTGTCTTCTCTTTCCTTGTTTTAAGGAACAGTGCTATGTTGTTGTCAAACTGGGTCCATTGTGATTGGATTACGGTTCGATCAAAGTCTGGTCAAATTAACTAAAGTCCGTCAAAATCAGCTAGGTTGATTGTTTTTTATTCGATTAATATCTTGTCTAATTCAATTAAGAATCTGAACCGAATCGGACTTTGGATCAAGTTTTTTATGACAATAATGTTTGATTAAATTAGTTCAACAACCGAAAAGATCAAATTGTTAGTTTCTCCTGGTATACAGGCTCGAGTGCCACATAAATTATAAACCCTAGCCTAATTAATGGTTAATTTTGTTGAAACAAGACGCGCTTCTTTTACAAAGATCTCTCAACCTGATAATGGTTAAATTAATTAAGTATTTGTTTTTGTGTAACGGGTTTTTTAACTCATTTTTCATCTGAAAAATATTAAAATGATTTTTTAAAAAAATTATAATTTCAATGTACTGATATTAAAGATAAAAAAAATTAAAAACAAATATCATTTTAATATATTTTCATTTGAAAAATATTATTGAAAACACATCTCACCACAGTAACAAATATTCAAGTTTTCAATTTTTTCAATTTTTAAAATGTAATGTTAGAAATTAAAAAAAATGGAAACTAATTTAATTAAATTATTGGTGATTGGTAAAATGTTGGAATCTAATTATATTGAGCATTGAGGTATTAATTCTCTAGCCAAAATGATAATAGGTTCAAAACTATAATCCTTGGATTTATTAGATCAATACATTTAATTGGATTTAATTCTCAATTGTGTGGGCTGTTGGACTGCATTTGCATCGGAGTTTGAATAAAGTTTTATTTTAAAAAATTATTATTTTTTATGTTTTTTTTCATTTTGATACAATGATATAAAAAATAATTTTAAAAAATCAAAAAAATATTACTTTAATATATTTTTAGCAAAAACAATAAAAACTTTGAAAAACAATTTTTAATACAGTTCCAAACACTTTTTTTATTTAACTTAGATGATAAATGAATTTGTCCTTCATCTTTTTTAATTCTTGATTCAATTGAGGTGAAAAAAAGTTTCTCGTTTTGGAGAAAAACAAAACCTAAAACCCACTAATATATTGGTTCGTGCTCTGCAATAGATTAATATTATTTTTTAAAAAAATATAAAAATATATTAAAAATATATGAAATGTTTTAAATATCATTTTTTTAAAATATAAAAAAATATTAAAAATATATGGAATGTTTTAAATATCTTTGAGTTTGACAATTATGCTAAACTCAAGTGACTTGGATCTAACGATAATACAAGATCCGTGAGCCTTTGGTCTAGCAGTCATACTATACCCAACAGATTTGGATCCAAGATCCGTGAGCCTTTGGTCTAGCAGTCATACTATACCCAACAGATTTGGATCCAGCAATCATATTAGACCCATGTCTAGATCTAACACGAAACATGATTGTCAAACCCAAATACTTTAGACCTGGCGTATTTGTTAGATCTAAGCAAACAACAAACAAACAGAAAACAATTGTGTACATCTCTACACACGTCGCACCATCTGGAAGAAGCCCGTCTAGACATCTATCCAGACGACGTATGATCAAATGTGACCACCAAGAGGCATCTCAAGTGCCTCTTTAACGGGGCAAGCACCACTCACTCGTAAGGACGTGTGGCACACACGTCAACAGCTTTTTAAATAAAAAATAAAAAAGACAACATGAAAATACTAAAACACTTCTCATGGTCCTCTTAACTACACACTATACCTAACTAAATTTTATTGTCGCAATCATTATTGTTAAAATCACGAGTTAACTCGTAAAATCATATGATTCTATAAGTCAACATGTATCTAACCCATAAAATCAGACTAAAACTCGAAAACTAGTAAAATCAGACTTAACTCGTAAAAAAATAGTAAACTTAATCTGAGTTTATGAATTTATTAAATTTATGATATGGATCAACTCAGATTCAAATTTGACCTTAAAATATCTGCTGACTAATTTTATAAGATTAACCATATCTTTCAAACCGTATATTAGATAGAGCTGAAATTTTATAATGAAATATTAGACACATGAAAATATATTATGGTAAATTTTTAGGTCAAATGGTTTGGAAAAATAATATTTCAAATGGTCAAAATTAATAAATGAATCTTGTCAAATAAATCAAACTAGACCTTCATGTATTGTTTGTAATATATCCGGGGCTACCAATGAAGTTTTTCTGTGATTAAAGTTGGGCTACAAACTAGTCATCTAATACTTTCTAACCATATTTGTAGGCCTAATAATTCATCTAAATAATAGAGAACATCATATTTGAAATTAGAACTTAAATCTAACAAGAATATACAAAAATTGAAGATTCGGGCTACATAGAGAAATTTTAACATGAAATTTTTTTATTATTCTATTTATTTATTTATTTTTAAATGATTAATTTAAAATTTTTTTTCTAGCACATTAAACATTGTTTAAGGATTTATTTCATTATTCAATTTATATTAGCTAATTACTAGCTCATTAGCTTACAACTCAAAAGAAATTTATTAGAACTTATTGTGATACAAACAACTAAGTTATTACCAAGTTATTACCAAGTTCATGTATACTTCCTGCCATTCAAGAATTTCCTTGCATTGAAAAGTTTTGTTATAAGACTTTTTATTTCTCCATATCATTAATTTATTAATTCATATTATTTATCTCTCTCATTTTATTTAGATCATTCATTGATTATAATATTGTTAACTCTCTTTATCATATTTTAATGCAATTTAATTTCTTAGCTAAAATTATCAATATATAATTATTTAAAATAATTACTTATAATTTTACGATTCCGTGTATGATTCAAATTTATATTGTATTTTTCAATATCATATAAAAAAATATTTTTAATAACCTTAGTTGTGGTCGAAAATAATTTATATCACATGAATCTATGTAAAAAACTAAAGTGAAAACCCCACTTCATTTGGTTTTCTTTATAATAGACTATTCTTTGAAACGAGCATCTCCAATCCAATCGAGAAGAGATAAGGATTTCCTTAAAGTCCCTCTAATCAGTATTATCTCTAGTTCTTCAGGCCAATAGCTTATAAACATGCTTCTTTTTGCAATAGCAAGGGTGTTATATAAAATTTTGAATTTTTTTGGACAGGTTTTAAAGATCAAGCAAATCTTGGGTTCTAATAAAAGGCACATGGTATCTTGTTTGTTTAGTGCAAACTATTTTTAAAAAATTTAATTTTTTTATTAAAATTTAATATATTTTGTATATTTTGAATCTTTTTAATATACTAAGATCAAAAATAATTTTAAAAAAATAAAAAAATATTATTAATATGCATTTTAATACAAAAAATTATTTAAAAATCAACTATCCCAAACAATTTTTTAAAAAGATCTCATGTGTACAGTTCCATTAACTGGCTATTGAAGAGAGATACATGCGATACACTGGCTATTGAAGAGAGCTACATGCCCTGCGTGTCATTCTAAGTTGCAAAATATTTGTTCCAATGGATAAGACTTTCTTAGTGGAAAATACAAGAAAACATGCTTATTAAATTGATATAGCTTAGCTTAGAAAATGAACTCAGAAAATTTATAATCACAATATGACAGGAGTCAAGTTTTAGATTGAATAAAAACATAAATTAAATTAAACCATTAAATCTCAATTAACCTAGTTGGATTTTTTATTTTTTTAATAAAAAAATATTAATTTAATAAAAATAATTAATTTAAATCGTTCTAATAATAATTCCCGAGTTAACCTAGCTACCCAGCTTAAAAAAAAAAAAAAAAACAGTTCCTAAATTGTTGGACTGTAAATTTGTATTAGGTTTCCATGTTTTAATTTGTATCCAACAAGTACAAGAATTCCTTCAGCCCTTGGGACTACCCAATATAACTATTCCTAATCATCTACTGCACACTTACCAAACTTAAAATAGGAGAAATAATTATGAGGAATAATGGCTATGCTATAAAGTTTTCGTGCCAAAGAACTTGTGATCGATTTTATCGTTGTCAAAGAAACAAAACATGGTTTGGAACCTAAGGCTAGAGTCAAATTTCAGGCACCATGTATGGACAATGTATTGTTTTTCTTCGAAGAAATCCGAAGCACTGAAATGATATTGGACACCTTAGGCATCCGTTAATTTTCAGAAGACAAAGAAGACTTACTTGAGATAATATGTTTCCATGCTTATGAAAATGCCCCTTGAAAGCGATCACTTGTTCGTGAGCATTGTGGCCTCTGAGGCATGCGAAACCGACAATGTCGAGAGCGCAGTGATCATCAAGTGTAAACTTACGACTGGGATTAATGTAGATGATGATGATAAAGCAACCTCCTGGGATTTATTTAAGGAACCTTCTGATCTGGTGCTACAAGCTTGCAAACCGCAATTCCATGCTTACAGAAAACCAAAGTTGACCACAATCTGGGTTCTGAGGAAGATTTATTCTGTCCAGTTTGTTCAGAACATCTTCTCATCGGATTTGAAGCTGCTTGCACAACATGCTCTCATCTGTATCATTCTCATTGCATCATTAAGTGGCTAGTCACAAGTACTTCTTGCCCTCTGTGCCGTTGTTGTTTGCCTGTAGGATTGTTCGGCTATTGAATCAAGGCCATCTTTGATTGTTATTCATTAAGAAATTTAAGCAAGGATGAACTCCCATAAGACGACTGTATAAAAGCAACTTTCAAGTAGTTACACGTATGTATACAGGAACCCTAGTAGGACTATTTGTTATGTCCTTATTTGTTCTCTGGCCAATCAAACATGCTTTGAAAGAATACTTTGTGAATTGTGACTAAGAATTGAGTTTCGTAAATGATCCAATGATGCAAATTGAAGCTCTTGTTAACTATTTCTTGCGTGAAAGATAAATGCCTGAAACAATAGCCACACCAGCAACTGCAACACCTAGCGATGCAAGAACCTTCCAAGCTGAAACAGCTGATTTCTGTGAAGGAAGTTCCATAAGATCCTTCAACTGCAACAACAGGAAGGTAGAGCCGATAAAGATTTAAGAAAATCTAAAAGATGGGCAGACAAGGAGGATGCTAATCTAGTTTTTTGTAAGGTTCCATTGATAAAAACTAACTGCATAATGAGTCACAGACTTATTAATGGACTAACTAGAAAGTTTGGAATTCTGTATTTCTAACAAGTACATAACTCAAAATATGTTCTAAACAAACCTCAATGTACTGCTCCCAATGCCTCTTAATCCCTTGCAAATGCCCCTTTCCAACAACTGCAACGACTGAATTATGTTCTTTCGCAATTCTTAGAAGGGTTGATGACATGTACCTGAAAGTTTGTGATATCAATAAATTCGTTCAAAATAGGAAGTTTTTTTGCAGAGTGCTCATACACCTAAACTTTCACACAGCTATTCACTGATAGATACAAAAGGAACATGACGTCAAGGTAGGTTTTTCCAAAACATTTTTCTTAAACCAGCAGATCAGACATCAAACTATAAACACACAACTCCGAAGAGACATGGGCAAAGGAAGTGTAGAAATATTTTAGCAACTCAATTCCCTTTATAAACTCGGATGCAATCAACACCAAGCAGAAAGACACAGAAAACTGTTTCCCAATAGACTCTTCTCCTTCCTTTTTATGAAAGCCAACAACATAGGCAGGAACTATCATCTCTTCCCAACTAAAAAAAGCATCAAATTACAAAAATAAATGGAGGCAAAAGACTGCTAACTGATCTCGCTCTTGCACAAGGGTTTCCATAAGAGTGGGGAACTGCTTGCTCATTTCTTGAATGACTAGAGTCAGCATGTCAACATCATCCATTTCTTTTAGCTGCAAATAAGCAAACAAACTGACTGTCAACCACATTTAGTAATCTCTAATAATGTTTGCAGCTAAGGAAAAAAAATGAAATTTTTGGAGGAAATGAGTAAAGGGAAAGGGGGTTGAGGGATTTTACCATTTTCTCAAGATCCTCGGAGCTTGGTAAAAATAATGCTTGAAAAATTAACGAGTACAGAAATTTTACTTTATGCCAAACTGGCATTTTACCCCATGACCTCCGCAATGTAATCTGTTTCAGTTGATGCCATCAAAGTCAGAGTAGTTTGTAACAGCAGCAAGAAGAACAAAACAGAATAGCATCAAAAGAGATGTGAGGAAGATTAAAGAAGCTTATTAAGCTAAGACAGGTTGTAATTGTATAGCAGTATTTGAAAACATATCTTGAGGGCGACCTAAAGAACTCACAGACCCGATTATGGTTCTCCAGTTTCCAGAGATCGGACCCCTATTACTAAGCTTTTCTGGCCAAAGCTGAGGCTGAGGCGACAAGCTTAGATGGACAAGACTTGATCAAAATCAAACAGTGAATTTATTGTTTTTACACAATCCATGTTATAAAGTTGAAGAAGCATCCAGAATAAACATTTGATAAGCCTGCTAAACACAATAGATGTCTCATCCAGAAGTCAGAGAAATAGTTACTTTAGATGAATGGAAACATGTCTTGATGGGGAATTTTTGGCCCAAGATTAACACTTAGAAATGATAGCCAGAGCAGGGAAAAGCCAATTCCAAGCACAAAAAATACTTAACATGCATCCCATGGTATCAAATTCACAGCCAGCCTTCACAGTGATTATGCCATCAAGTTTTTCACATGTAATAAAATACTTGAAACATGATTGCAATAAAGATAAGCACTTGGGTATACGGATATTGGCACTAGATTTAGATTTTGGACTAAAAATGGAAATCTTATGATAGAGAAACCAGGGCAACTGTAGCAACCAAGTATCTAATAGGCAACCAAAATTAAACCTCCTAATTGACCTTAAAGGAGGTTACCACAATTTTTTTTCCCACTATCTCAAAATCAGCCTGAAGGAGGTATACCACGAAATTTCTCTTATGAAAAAACTAGATGTGAATGGAAATCATATGAATACTAATATATTCATAAACACAGCAGGAATTTCTCTTGCAGTAAAAAACCTTATTCCACCCAACTCCCTTGGCCTCATAATTAATAGATAATCCAGCGTATCAATGTCAGAAGAAACATAAGCACTTCCAACTAACTATACAGCAAATAAATCTTACCTGTACAGGACGATCACCAAGCACTACCTTGCCCTCATACTTTCTTGCTTCTTCAAATGCTACCCGGAACTCAGAACCAGGAAAAACTTCGAGCTTATCAGCAACCTTACACAAAAAGAAAAATAAAAGTTGACCAAATAAGCTTGATGCAAAAAACAACTTACAACAATCTTGATGTAGAATATTCTAATCCTCCACAAAAATCATGAATAAGAAATTCATCTTAAATGCTTACCTTGGCAAGAAACCAGCTATAAAGAATTCCAAAGGTGTTATGATTTTTCTTCCACATCTCTATCATTCCCCCCATTGTTGGTACCTTGAAAACCAAAAATGAACGCATCAAAAAATGAAAACTTCAAGGGTAAAGAGCATAAATGGAATAATGAAAGCAAGAAACTCCAGGAGAGACCTTTAAATTCTGAGGCGAAAGCAAAGCCACTCTACTCGCACATAATTCCAGAAATACAACCTGTAATCAACAAATGCCAGCTTCACTTTGTGAAGATTTCATGGGACAAGTACAAGCAGTAAAAACTATCTAAATACAGGCAGCTAACCTGCTGAAAAATGACCTTTTCATGAATGTTTGGAATCAATATGCTATCGAAGTTTCACAAAAAAGGAAAAAGCACCTGCGGTTTCAAGTAACTGATTACAGCTTGTACTTCCCTGCATGATTCCTACAATTCACAACCCAGCAAAAAACATAAACATAAACAATTTAAATATTTTTCAATTTTATCGTGATTTTTCTAACATTTACAAAATTATCCATTTTACACTCACTTTTGCAAAGAATTTTCTTTTGTCAAGCATCCCTAAACAACAGGGGGTTTCACAATTTAAAAATTTAAGCTTTTTCCTTCACTTTCTCAGCAATAGGAAAGAAAAATAAAATAAAAACCAAAATTTAAACTTGCAGAAATTACAAAAGTAGCCTTTTTAGGCTCCCTCAAGCCAAAAATCCCTCTTTCTCAAGCATTCAAAAGTCAAAACCCAGCAAACACGCACACAAAAAAAGTTTCCAACTTCAACAATCTCTCTATTTTCCCTTCACTTTCTCAGCAACCGAACAGAATTTAAATCAAAACCAAACACTTTACATTTTTCAATTTTCAATTTTGTTAAAAAATAGTTTTTATACTCGCTTAAGCACAGAATTCTATTTTCCCTTCACTTTCTCCGCAACCAAACAGAAAAACACAAAGTATAATCAAATAATTCACATTTCCAGCCTACTTTATTTCAGCCAAAACTTTACAAGTTAGCCATTCTACAAAGAAGAGAAAACGTTCCAAACTTCCACAATTTCTCAAGTCATCCTTCACTTTCTCAATAACCAAACACAAAAGAGAAAAACAAAGAATTTCAATTTTCACCTGAGAAACATGAGCAGTACCAACTAAGTGCACGACACACATGCCACCTTCAGCTTTCGACTCGCACGTGAGGACCATCACGCTTCTAGAAAGTTCCTCTGGGAGCTCCTTCCTCTCCACCACGTCGTCATTTTTATCATCATCTTCGCTAAGTTCATTAGCAACGTCAACTATGCTTTCGCTTAAGTGATTATCGTTATCGCTAGGGTTTTCGATGTGAACAAATTCCTCATTAGAAGGGCTCGGATCCATCGTACTCGGGTTCGGGTCGGGGGTTATCGGATTGGTATTTTGGTGGCAAAGGCGATGATTCGGGGGAATTTTGGGGGTGTGTACATGGAATGAGTAAGATTGAGGTTGGTTTGGTGCTGCTGGAGAGGGGACTTTGCGGTGGTGGTTAAAAATCGGTGTGACTCGGGTGAGTTGAGGGGAGTGAGAACTGAGCGAGTCAAGCTATTATTTATAAATCAGGTAAAATGGGTGTGGCGGATTTTATTTTATAGGGACGCTGACGCGGTGGTTTGGATTGACGTGACGTGGCTGTTGCCATTTCTGCAAGGCTTTGGTGGGTCAGTTTTGTACGTGGCAGCATTTGATTGGATGGTGTAAGGAGGGAAGTTTTAATTTCCTGCTTTACCTTTTCTAATTATTATTATTATTATTACTGACTGGTCCCTTTCTCAGCGTTAAGAGGGAACAAGTCAATAAGATTCTTCAACACCATACGAGAAGTGTGATTGTGTTTTTTATTTTAAAATGTTTTAAAATAATATTTTTTTTAATTTTTAAAATTATTTTTGAAATCAATTTATTAAAATAATTTAAAATATAAAAATATTAATTTTTTTTGAAAACATGGTTGGCCCTCTCTTAATATCAAAAAATTATATGATAATCAAGTTTAAAAAAAAAAGGAAATTAAAAATAAAATTATAAGTAGATAAAGTTATTTTTATAATTTTTGATGGGCTTGGACACAATTTTATTTCTTTATTTTGTATCAAGAAAAGGGTGTTTTTTTTTTTTTGCTCTCATATCTTGGTTTTTTCCAACGAACAAACCCATTTGACAAATGTTGTGGATAATTTTCAGATGTTTTTCCTGTTGACCCAACTGTTGGGAGAATGGTGATCGGAAAAGCTCTTTGACATGGGAGGAAGAATTTACCACAGCATTGGTTGATACAAATGCGTAAGCGTTGGATTGAAGCATGAATTATTGTTCATGTGTTGATCTGTCAATCTACATGTGTTCAAGCTTTGCTTTTTTCGACTGTCAAAACCCTTTCTTCCCCTTAATTTTTTATGTTCTTGCCTTTTAGTTTCATGGAAAGTAAAGGCATTTTGACACTTGGTATATGTATTTTCTCAAGATCTTACAGGAAAAGAAAGCTGAAGAAGCAGTCTTTCTTCTAGAATTCAGGAGCATGAGGCTCATTTATCTGCGGTCTTTCTTCCCATGTATGTGCTGACATCTTTCTGGAATTTTAGGTAATTTAACCAGTGGTAGACATCAGGAAGATACTCCACACAATTTCATTCACACCGTTCTCAGCTGAATAGCAACAAGGAATTTGAGGTGGTGGGCAGCCGGAATGGCAGTCACTGGCCTATAGGAAATGAAGGCAAACAAAAGAAAGGAAAGAGGGTTTCCATCAGTATTCCCTCTGATGAGGTAATTTCTTCTTTCCCACTTTTGTTTTAGGTTTTCTTTTTCATGACATGAGAGCACTTTCCGGTTAAAAACATAACATTAGCATGCGAGTCGAGGATAGAAAAAGTAAGAAATGTGAGAAAATGTTGCTGGGAGAATTTAAAAGGGAAAGTAAAATGAAGCTGCGGCTTGTGGGTTGTATTTTCTGTACATACCATTATAGACACATTGCATGGCAGTTCATCTGTTGGCATAACACCTCCTTACTATCGAGGATTGATTGGAGAGCAAGGAAACTTTTAGTATCGGTTATGAAAATGATTTTCATGCGTATTATTAAACCCGGCTCACTCTACAAATCATTCCAATGTCTTGAAACCTTGCCCAAACCATGTTTTTTTTCAAGAAAAATTCTGAAAATTTTAACCCGGTCAAACATGACCTGGTTGATCAAATCCATGATGTTGAGGATGCACCCTCACCACAAATTTTGTAAGAGAAGAAAACAGTAAGAATTTGCTGAGGGAATTTTTTTTTTTTTTTAATTTCCTGCCCAGCTGACTATAAAGCATTCTTAATTTTGTTGTGTCTTCTACTTTTTGTTGGGGTCTTGCTCTAAGCAAGCGTTGCACCTGCATTTAAATCCATAATCTGCTAGCAATGCCTGTCTGTCTTCAAATGGAAGGTCCTCGTCTATGTATGAAATGGTAACCTGAAAATAACAGTCACAACATTCTGCTCAACATCCATAAGTAAAAGCTCGTTTTCTTTTGATGGCAAACTGAATGTAATGAATAAAATGAATCACCTCTTCTCCCTTTCGAATTGGTTTCAGGGTGATGATTGCTGCCTGGCCATCTCTGTCCTGCAATCACAGAAAAATGAAAACAGATACACTCGTATTTGTGGAAAAGCAAACACAACCACTTGCATAAAGAATGATGCACATGGTTGGGGTAGATGAAGTGTGGCTTTGAGAGCCAAACTTCAATCTTAAACACACCTCATCTCTTTTGAAGGCATGTGCATTTGGGCAGCAGGAGTGATTCATGCAACTCTGTAAAGGATAGAATGCAGTACCTAGAGCAAATTTGAAACAATTAGCAAATCAAGCATTCTCATTTTGAGAGGATTTTGCTAACGGTAGATGTAACACAGAGATTTCCACAAAAACGCTTGCCAAAAGAATCGAATACAAAGGGAAAAATATGCATGCTTTTATATAATGCACAAGACCGTAGAGGCTGTAAGTATCTCATTAAGTCCTATGCTTTCTGTAAATATAAAAGCTGGAATATTAATTACACCACTTGGGAGTTAAATCTGCAGGTTATTGATCCTGAATTTCTGTGTTCTTACTCGCATATAGAGGCTGCCAGCGGTTTCCTTGCTTTGGACCACAAAGCAAAGCTCCTACTGGCAGCCACTTGTGTATCTTAGCAAGCCAGACCCCAGTTTTTTTCTCACTGATTGATATCTAATTTAAGGCAAATTTAACCAATAGTTACAGGCATTTAGCTAAATGACTTTCACAAGAGAAGAGAGAAACTTCGTAACAGTTCAAACCTATATAGCTAGATAACAACTTTCGTTAGCACATAGGAGCTTGATATAGATAACCCGACATTTAAATATAGATATTGTTAGTTTCTCACCATTGTCTGACAAAGCAGCTCATCAATTTAAATCATACCTTGGCAACAAATTGAATAGTCATCTCCAAGAGCATCTAGAAGTTGCCGTGCAATTTTTTCAGCCTTTTCCTGCCATATGCAATGTTAAGATCGTATTCATAATTTGTATTCTAAAGGAACTTCAGGAACTCAGAAGGAAACGTGTTCTAACCTTTTCGGGATCTGGAAGATCATCAATGTACAGAAAATAATCCTCAACTGGAGATGCTACGACCAGATCACTGCCAGAAAATGGAACTTCAAATAACTATGCATGAGTTATCAAGCTAATCAAGCATGCCAAGGGAACAAGCCACACAGTATCTTTCATATTTTGCTGTAATGATAAACCAAGCCATTGCAATTATCATTGCTTCCAAGATGCTTGCTTTACAATTTCAGACAATTGGAATGTACTAATGTAGCCTTGATAAAGGTGATGCTTACAGATTATTCAGCTCAAACATGCCAATAATATTCCCATAGATTTCAAGGGAGAATACTTGGAAGTGTCAAGGACTTCCACTGTAAAAGGTAAGAATAAGAGTAGGGACTTTTCTTCAACACAAATTGAGTATAATGAACCAAAAAAATGGGGAAAAGGATACATGGCTCACATTCCTCATCAAATATGGCAGCCTTGAGAAGCTGCAGTGACTGAAAAAATTAAAGCCAACCATTAGCACCAATTATCTAATAGAGGCAGGAAAAATTATTAGGAAAATAAACTGTAGCTCATCAAAGTGATAGTTGCACTCAGAATCAAACCAACAGCACAAGTAGGGTGAAGATCCTTTCATGGTGCACATGGAAATGCTCCAAAAGATGAATAATGATGATTGATAAAAATGCCTTTCTTGATTTCAAATATTACATGCTGTGTATACTTCGCTGAAGTAGATACTTTCAAAATTTAGGGCATTGTTCAAATATTAGTGAAGCTAAATATTACATCTATTTGTTTCTCTTAAAGATTTAAAAGAAACTTTAGCCAATATCACTTCTCTCTCTAACAAGAAAATTTTAAATAAAAAGGTGCATGCACGAGGAGCCCCTGGGTCGGAGAAAGACAGAACAGGATATTAAAGCTATTAAAATTACAAAAATTGCAGCAAACCTTGAAAAACGTTTTCTCGATTTCTGATTCAAGTTGTGGTGGTTGTTTAGAGAAACTTTCTAGAGACACCAACCGGTTGAGATATTAATTAAGATATAGCCATTGGGTTTATTGTTCCCTTCCAAGAACCCTTGAAATTTCCAGATAAAGTTACAATGCCGAGGTGAAATCTCACCTTGAATGCAAGCTGCTGTATTTGCATCCTAAATGCAGTGTCATCAGAGCGATCAACATCATCTGGAAATGAAATGCACTCCCACCACCTGAAAGACAAATAAGAAAAAAATTTGAAAGCAGTTTGAGTTCCTGCATTTGCTTAAAGTTCCAAAAATGCCTCTGCATCTTCAATAGATATCACATAATGAAACACCAACCTACTCCTACCGTTGGCACCATCTGTCTATTATGGTTAATTAAATATTCATCCTCTGAAAACTAAAAGGACATGATATGGAAAGCAAACATGAAAAAGATATCTACCTTCTCTTGTATCCCATTGATATTGGCTTCCATGCCTCCAAAAGTAAGGAAAGTTCAGAACGGTCTGCATTAGCTGCTTTCAGCTTCCTATACCTTAAAATGGTGAAAGCAATTGTCTGCCAAAGAGATGATGGGTGATTTAGTTATCCATGAGAAGATTTATTTTGAGAGATATTATATATCAAGTACTTGCATGGAAAGATAGAAACACGTAGCTTATTTCAGAACAAGAACACAAAGAACTTGAAATATTCCAACAGTGTTCACAAACATACCTTGGCTGCTAGGAGGAAAATATCATTTGTTTCTGAGAAAATCAAAGAATGTGAAGGAGAAATGTAAACAATGATAGGATAGAAATAACAAAATAAATTACTTGGGCAAATTCATTGAACGCAATGGCCTTAAACTTCAAAGCTTACCAGTAGCATGCTGTATAAATTTTGAAAGTGCCTTGATAGATACTGATTCTGACCTCTCCCCGGTGCAAAGTAAAGAATGTGAAGATTCCCAATCAGTCTGTGCACAAGATTTGCTACAACCATGTTGACAGCATAGTTAAAAATTATAGAGGATTAGTTCATGCTAGATGCTTATACAGAAAAGTGGAGGTGACAATTCTTCCCAGGCAAAACTATCTACTGCCAAAAATTTGGTGTAATAAAGGAAAAATTTGTAGCAGCAATGGCTAACTTTCTGGTCAAATGACTATTGCCAATTTACATAGAATAACCTTTTTGAGGCCCATCAAAAATTCACTTGGTGCTTTTACTGCTAAAGTTCTACCATGCTCCAAAGCATGGAGTGAGAAATGGATGTCAAATGGAAGGCCAGATCCACAAGAAATTGTAAATTTGCCTTTACCTGCAATAATAAGCTTCTTGACATCCCCCAGGACAAGGAACAGTTGAAGGCAAGGGAAATTTGTCAGAGTAAGGCAATACCAATTCACCATTCATTAATGCTTCTATAACTCCTTCAGGCAAACAAGCTTTATTGTTGGAGCTGCTGGAACTACATTCCCCTAAAATTTCATAAGCTTTTCTATGAGAATCATCTTTACATCCAATAAAACAACATAAAACCAATCTTCCAAAATGTGAAAAATTCATACCCTCATCGCATCCATTGCAGCTGGGCACGCCTAGACTTTGCAAATAAAGTTTCCTCCCAATCTGATATTCAACTGACTCGATAAATTGGAAACAATAGCCACACACCAGACAGTCAAGCTGTTAACCAGAAACAAAAAAGAAAAATGTAAATTTGCAATCTTTGAATGAAAAAGAAAAAAAGAAATCAAAGGGTGTCACAAAAAAAAAAAAAGAGTAATCTTCAAATTATGCAGTACCTTATTTGGGACATGCTGTAAACCGACAAGTATCTTGTCCTTCAGTATAAGTTCTCCTTCTTTAAGTTCCGTAGTTGCATAAACCCCTAAAAAGCTTCAACATATGCAGTTAAACATCATAAAACACACATAATTTTTTTAAACAAGTCCGTGATTTAAGAAAACCAAGATTAAAATTTTGGAAGCTGTCATCACTATCAAATAGTAGCAACATATTAACAAAACAAAAATTAAATAAACAGAACCTTTAATCACACCAGACCATCTCCATATTTCACAACTAGATTTTCTAGCCAACATTGTAATTGTTATGACAAAACCACAAGCATTTCCTCTCTCGCGTTCACGTGGGGTCCATTGTTCGCGACAAGGGGTCCTACTTGGTACTCTAAGCTGAATGCATAGTTTCTGCTAAACTACATTAATTAACACTCATCAACATAATCAAACCTAAATCTCAATCCCAAAACTACTCCTCTAATTACTCCAATACTTGATCAAGCAGAAGGAACCATACATACCTTTGCTCAAGTTTCCATCTTGTTTGACTTCAATTCCATGGCATTTCCTTTCAGATATAATCTCCTCGAAATACTCCTAATCAACATTAACACAGCAATCAAGTACGTAAAATCAGGTGGGGATAATCGTATATAAAACCCCACCAAGAGGGGGGGGAATGGGTTTCAAAGCTAAAGAGAAAGAGAGGCAGCACCTGGAGTTGAAGAGGAGAAGGAGGGGTGAGCATGGCAGATATTTCAGCTGCGCACTTTGCATCTACTGAACACTTTGTTTCCATTGTCACCGCGCTCTCCTCCACTCTCTGTGCGCCTGTCTTTCTTCTTTATATATGGCGTGTGACGGCGAGGTGGAGAAACAATGTTTTAAGGCAAATTATATTTATTTTGATCCTTGTATATTGACTCCTATTTCAATATGATAATATTAATTTTATAGTTTCGAAACAATTCCAATGTAATCCCTGGTCATTAAATAGGTTCCAAAGTCCTCCTTATTTTTTAATTTTCAGATTTTGTTTCCCAAGTTTTTTTCTTCCAAAATCATAGAGATAGAATACAATCTTAATGGACGACATGTAGTCTAATTGGTGGAGTAATTAGGTTGAAGACTTTTGAGAGTCTCGTTTTCATGTTTTAAAAATATTTTTAAAAATTTTAATTTTTTAATTTTTTTGTTTGTTTTGAATTTTTTTATATTTTTAAATTATTTTAATGTGTTTATATCAAAAATAATTTTTAAAAATTAAAAAGAAAATATTATTTAGATATATTTACGAGCAAAAAACATTTTACACCTCTTAATATTATGGTAGCTTTTTTTTATTGTGGATTATTTAGATATATTTACGAGCAAAAAACGTTTTACATCTCTAAACACCTTAATATTATGGTAGCTTTTTTTATTGTGATATGAAAAATATAAAATTTGAAAAATTATTTTTAATTAATGTTGATTTTATTAAAATATATATTTGATTAAAATTATGATTGAAGTTGTTGTTTACCAAAAACATATATAAAATATTTAATTAAAATTGATGGTATGTCCAAATATTTGATAATAATAATTTTTTATTTTGCATAGAATAAAAAATATTAATGTAAAATAAAAAATAAAAAATTTTATTATTTTAAAAAATATGTTAATTTAAAAGTGAAAACAATACAAAAACAAACCAACTCGAATCGTTTGACGTTGTGGCATGTGAAGAACCCATTACTAGAAACCTTAGTTCAGCTTGGGAGGTCAAACTGATATCTACTGATTGAGGCCTTGGGATGGGTTGGTTTTTTCCGACTAGTCATGTAGTTGACTTGTTAAAACCGTCCGAAAAGACTAATATCTCAGGAAGTGGTTAAAACCGTTCGACTAGTCATGTAGTTGACTTGTTAAAACCGTCCGAAAAGACTAATATCTCAGGAAGTGGTCAAAACATGAGTGAGACCTGGTAAATTTTTCTCAAAATAGAGTTGTTTCAGTTTTTTAATTGTCCAAAACAACACCTTTTAAAAATAAAATAAAATAAAAAACTGTTAGGGTTTCAGAACATTGCTTCATAAATTTATTTCCCAGAATAATACATATGTATATAAGAAACAATTCTTAATTACACAACAATAAACAACCATAAAATTAATTATTTGATATAATTATCAAACTTATCATAGGGAGTCAATGTTAAAACCTCATCATTTAACTTATTGTTTAACTTAAATTTAAATTTAAATTATATAAAAGTTTGCTTAGATTTAAAACAAAGAGTAGAATCATGTGAACTAACCTAACTTCTAGTACGATATCATCTTATCCTCTTTTTTCTAATTTCTTTTTTAAAAAAAATTAATTATATTTATATTAATATAGAATATAATATTGGTTTTTTAATTATATGTTTAATTTTTGAAAAAAAAATTTTATTCGTTTATGATTTTGCTTTCATCTTTTATATATAATAAAAAGAGTTTTGAAAATAATAAATATTTATTTTCAGATGATATTTGTAACATATGTAATTTTATATGTTATTTTTTTATTTTATTCAATTAATTTAATATTTTATTTTTTAAAATTAAATATTGTGATCTATATCTGTCTCTTGATTTTTTAAATTTTAATTTTAAATATCATTAATAATTATTTATTTATTTATTTATTAGCATACATAATTTTGAGTTTATTTAATTATATATATGTATAAACTTTTTGATTTTTTATATTTTTTAAATTATATAAATACTTTGAAAAAATCTAAATAGATATTTTTTTATAAAAAATAAAAATATTTAACTCGCCATAAATCATGAATTGAGTAACTAGTATTCGTAATTTTTCCATGTAATTCAATGTGACAGTTTGATCGCTAGTTCTCTTGACATGAGAGAACGTGTTGCTGGTAAGTTTTATCAATCATAGAAAGCGCTCCTGGTAGTTCTTCTTGTTACTAAATTTATTTCAAGTTAATAAACCTGATTTGACTCGTATCTCCGATTATAAATTAAAGTAGATTAACTCAATTAAATTTTTTTAAAAAAATGTGAGTTTTGTGTTGTAATCCTGACCAAGTTTACACATAATTTATATATATATATATATAGATTTAAATCTTGAATTGGTCTTATAGATTCATCTGATACTGAAATTAAATCAAATTTAAAAAATAATATAAAAAATCAAAATTTAGAATGATTTGTTTAATTTGTTAGGTTGACTTAATAACTCGACAAGAACTAGTTAAATCTCAATTACAATTTATTGTCTTTTATTATTTTTTATTAAAATGATATAATTTTAATTTATTTTAAATTAAACTTAACTAGACTGATTTGATCAAAACTTGAAATATAAATCTTAAACTGAGTTAATTACGGACCAAATTTAAAAACTCTGATATGTTTTATGATGTGTTCATCCATTCGAGGGCTACAGAACACGAGCACACACAACAAAATTCAATTGTAATTCTGGGGTCTCATGGCCATTTAACCTCCAATGAATCCTCGAACGAAAAACACAAATTTTGTAATTCTTACTCTATAATATATCGAAGTTAGCAACAATAATTGTTCATGGTGGAGATCACTTTATTTGCTTTTTCCAAGTTACTTTATTTGCTTTTTCTCAGTTTTGATATATCGCAATTTATTGTGCAGAGCAATTGCTGCCTTTGTCGATAATAAGTGACAGATAGACCGGTAAAGTTAATTTGTTATTGTTTCTTATATATACGCGACGCCGTGTTATTAGATAGAAAGAAAAGTAACTCAGAAAAGCTAGGACTCGCCGATGTAAGAAGTTAACTGAAAGTTTATATGATCGTTAATTTTAGGGCTTGTAGAATTAATTGTGATGCGTGCAAGTTGGCCTGAATATTCACGTTAATCTAAAAAAAAAAAACTACTGATTAAGAAATGTTCATCTAACATGTATTCCATAGTTGTATTCCGAGGCCGACTTATAAAGGGTCTAGATCATTAGATTATTGAATCAATTTATAAATTATTAGATCAATTCTTAGTAATTATTTTTATTAAAATGATATTATTTTTTTATAAAAAAATCTTGGAGTTGATGTAATTGGGTTTTGATCAGATTTGATTAGATCAGTTGAATCACTGAAAACTTTATTAGATGAATAAGGTTTCATTGATACTTGAATTATTAGCTTAACTGTAGTCGTTATTTAAATTAAAGGCGATGAGAGACAATGAATCATAAAAAAACATATGACAATAATTAACTAAAAAAATGACCCATTGATATCATATTTGTAAAGAGAAAAAAGAAAAGATCATTTGAGATCGATTGTCACTCCATCATGGACATCTTTACAATTAAAAGAGTTTCTTGAGATGGTTCAAACCTCATTGAAAAATACACAACTGATTAGTATTTAAACGTGTATTTTTATTAAGGTTTTATATTATTATTTTACACTTAAAGTATCAATAACTCCTTAACTAAAATATGTTTTATAATAACATATCTAATAATATAAAATACCTTTAATTTGTGATAAATATTCATTTTAAATGCAGACTTATCACATAAATAAAAGGATTGATTAATGAATTTAAGAACTGAAATTGAAATGATAAAGAGATGGTCAAACTTAAAAAAGAGATGTTGGTGTAGTCCAAACTGGAATATTGTATGGTAATTGGATTATATTTGGAGCTGTCTTGAATTTAGGTATATTTTATATGGATGGAAATGTAAGACATAGGCCTACAACTTTTATAAGGAACTCAAGATTTAAAAAGACTATTTTTAAGTCCAAATCGTAACAATAACAAAGAAATCTGAATCTGTCATACAGCCCGCGCATTGTTTAGTGCTTGATCCATATCCAGAATTCTAAAAGTTTAAATAGCCTTCAATTTTTTTTCCTGAAAAGTTGAGATAATTTTTTGCAACTTTTATGTTTTCAAGTGGTTGCAATTCTGCCGTTATTAATAACGTTTTTGGCAGATAAGAGAAGATAAAGATTGTCATTAAATCAAGAGTTGGTTACCCACTTATCAATTAGTCATCAAATCAATAGTTTTCAATTTTAGCCTATAAAAGAATATATTTGCCATACATTTAGGCATCTTTATTTGCCTTCTATCCTGGTCTTGCCGGGTTATTTATTATTTCGATACTCCTACACTTGGAAGAAGACATTAATTTTTTGATTTTGTCAACGATAACATTAAAAGAAGTCACTAAAGCAATGCCTTATAAAAGCAAATCAAATAAAATATAATGAAGCGAATATTCATCTAGCATTTATATTCAATAAATCAATTTAATTTAATTTAAAAATAAAGTTTATTCTAAAAAAATAAATTTAACAAAGGATAACAAATAAAAAGACTTGAGATAAATCAACCAAATAAAAACACAAAGGGTGTAGAAAACATATATATATATATAACAAATCTCACTCTCCAATCAAAAAAATATCCCATGATAAAATTGAAAAATATTAGCTTAAGAGAATGATAAAAAAAAAAGAAAAAACAATACAACCCCCGACAAACCTCCTTAAACGGAGTTAATTTCTTAGACTATAACTTGTGAAATTCAAAATACAAGTCTAATCAGGAAGCTTAAAACCAAAAAACTTAAATTTAAATCAACTCACTGTTAAAATATAAAATCATTAAATTAAATAAAAAAATATAAACCTAAAAGGAAAGAAAATTAACAATAAAAAATAATAATAAAATCTAATAGGAAAAAATAATAATGGAGGGTGACATCATAAAAATATAAAAATTATTTCAAATAATATAGATATAAATTAAAAAAATAAAGATTAAATCTAAAAAAAATAAAATGAGAATGAAACTGAAATAAATTTTTAT